GAAAGTGACCATGAGCATGAAGTCCAAGGGCAGTGAATGCATGAGCGGCTGCATGATGGCTAATTTTAAATACCCCTCTCCACTAACAGGAACCTTGGTTCGTAGGGAAAATGGTGGATTTCAGGGCTGCGGCATGGAAAGTACAGAACATACTGGGAACATCTTTTTGTACCAGAAAAGGAGGAAGTACTCAAAGAATGACGGCACATGCCAAAAGGACACAGAAGTTACCTTAAAGGGATTGCTGCTGGCCACATCAGGGATAATTTGAGCAATAAAATAGACGTAGTAACGAACTGTTCCCTTAATGTTACTTAATGTAAACGAAGAAACCACGAATCCATACTGATATAAATAACTGAATAAATTAAAAGTGTGATGACAAATACGTTATCAGGGGTACCTGACTGGCTCAGTGAGTGGAGCATGTGACCCTTCCTCTTGGAGTTGTGAGCCTAAGCCCCACACTGGGTATAGAGACTACTCAAAAAAATAAAATCTGGGGCGCCTGGGTGGCTCAGTTGGTTGGGCGGCTGACTTTGGCTCAGGTAATGATCTCATGGTTTGTGAGTTCAAGTCCTGTGTCAGGCTCTGTGCTGACAGCTCAGAGCCTGGAACCTGATTCAGATTCTGTGTCTCCCTCTCTCTCTGCCCCTCCCCTGCTCATGCTCTGTCTCTTTGTCTTTCAAAAATAAATAAACGTAAAAAAAAAAAAAATCTAAAAGAAAAATGTACCTCCCCACAAAGTACTTAATAATTTCAAGGGGAAAAACAGTAGCTTCACAGTGGAGAAGCCTCACATCACCTAAGTCAAGGGATGGCAAAGGACATTCCCAGTAAGAGGGCAAAGCAGAATGGTGGGCTACAGGGTAAGTGGCAAGGAGAAAAATGGCATCGCTTGGGATATTCCTGCCAGACACAGAACCTGAATGGATGTAATCATGAGAAAAATATCAGATAAACCTAAATTGGGGGATGGTCTACAAAACAGCTGGCCTGTACTCTGAAAGTGTCAAGGTCACAAAGCCAAAGCCAGATGGAGGCACCATTCCAACCTGCAGGAAACTAACAAGAGCTGATAACGAGATGCGGGACGTGATTCCTAACTTAATCCTTCTGCTACAACAGATGTTATTGAGAATTAAGAGGTACTAATAGACACATGTTAATTTCTTGAATTTGATAGTTGTGCCTACACAGAAAAATGTCTTTGTTTGTGAGGAATCTACACTCAGCTACTTGGGGATGATGGGGCATCAAGTTGGCAACTAACTCTCCACTAGTCCAGAAAAGATTGAGTTCTTTGTTCTGTAAATTTCCTTCCAAATAAAAAGTACGTAAAAGAAGCAGCTACATAACCATCACACAGATGTATCATAATTTATTTAACCCTTTCCTTATTGGGGGCTTTTTTTTCATGATTATAACTAATGCTATGATATAGTCTCATATAAAAACCCCTTCATTTCTCCTATTTTGGATTATTACCTTTGGCTAGATTTATCAGAAAAGGGATTAGTGGGCCCAAGGGTACAAACTTTGTAATAGAGCTTTTTAAATTCTTTTCTTTTTTTTAAGGATTTTCTGTTATGGGTGGGGGGATGAGATAAATGGGTGATGGGCATTAAGGAGAGTGCTTGATGGGATGAGCACTGGGTGTAATCACTGAATTCTATTCCTGAAATTATTCCATTATATGTTAATTAACTTGGATTTAAATTTAAAAAAATTAAATTACATTAAATTAAAAAAAAAACCCAATTTCAATATGGGGACAAACCCAATGTAGAACCCTGTGTGAGTGCATAGGGTCCTGCCCTGGACCCACTACATAAGCCTAATCAGGGTTTTCCAGAGCCAGGTACCAGGCCTCTTTATAAGATAACTTAGGCACCAATGAAAATTTCAAGTTTCCATTGTAATAGAACTTGAGAACTACATTGAGTAAAGATTTGATGACTTAAAAAGAATATATTTTATTTCATTTTTTTAAGTAAGCTCCATGCCCAACTTGGGGCTTGAACTTATAACCCCGAGATCAACAGTCATATGCTCTAACTTACTGAGCCAGCCACCTGCCAATGTAATAGAGTTTTTGAAACATACTGATTAAGTATTTCTGAAAACATATGAGCCAATACTTAATGCCATTTAGCAATATTTGAATATATTTGTTTCACTGTATCCTTATCAGCAATATTGTATACTTAACTAATTATTTATAAATTTAATAAGCAAAAAATCATATTTTAAACTATAGTATTGTTTTAAATATTGTTTATTGTCAAGTTGGTTTCCGTATAACAACCAGTGCTCATCCCAACAACTGCTCTCCTCCATGCTCATCACCCATTTTCCCCTCTCCCCCACCCCCATCAACCCTCAGTTTGTTCTCAGTATTTAAGAGTCTCTCATGGTTTGCCTCCCTCCCTCTCCCCAACTATTTTTCTCCTTCCCCCTCCCCCATGGTCCTCTTGTTAAGTTTCTCCTGGTCCATGAGTGAAAACATATGATATCTTTCTCTGCCTGACTTAACTTAGCATAATATCCTCGAGTTCCATCCATGTTGCTACAAATGGCCAGATTTTATTCTTTCTCATTGCCATGTAGTATTCCATTGTGTGTATAACTACATCTTTTTTTTTTTTATTTCTAGGAGAGAGAGAGAGAGACAGCGTGAGCAGGGGAGGGTCAGAGAGAGAGGGAGATACAGACTCTGAAATAGGCTCCAGGCTCTGAGCTGGCAGTCAGCACAGAGCCCGACGCAGGGCTTGAACCCACGAACCGCAAGATCATGACCTAAGCAAAAGTCGGACGCTTAACCGACTAAGCCACCCAGGCGCCCCTGTATAACCACATCTTGATCCGTTTGTCAGTTGATGGACATTTAGGCTGTTTCCATGATTTGGCTGCTGTTGAGAGTGCTGCTATGAACATTGGGGTACATGTGCCCCTAGGCATCAACACTCCTGTATCCCTTGGTTAAATTCCTAGCAGTGCTATTTGCTGGGTCCTAGGGGGGTTCTATTGTTAATTTTTTGAGGAACCTCCACATTGTTTTCCAGAGGGGCTGTACCAGTTTGCATGCCCACCAACAGTGTAGCAGGGTGCCCGTTTCTCCACATCCTCACCAGCATCTATAGTCTCCTGATTTGTTCATTTTAGCCACTCTGACTGGCGTGAGGTGGTATCTCAGTGTGGTTTTGATTTGTATTTCCCTGATGAGGAGGGATGCTGAGCATCATTTCATGTGTCTATTGGCCATCTGGATGTCCTCTTTGGAAAAGTGTCTGTTCATGTCTTCTGCCCATTTCTTCACTGGATTATTTGTTTTTCAGGTATGGAGTTTGGTGAGTTCCTTATAGATTTTGGATACTAGCCCCTTATCCGATAAGTCATCTGCACCTATCTTTTCCTATTCCATCGGTTGCCTATTAGTTTTGTTGATTGTTTCCTTTGCAGTGCAGAAGCTTTTTATCTTGATGAGGTCCCAATAGTTCATTGTTGCTTTTGATTCCCTTGCCTTTGAAGTTGTGTCGAGTAAGAAACTGCTGCAGCTGAGGTCAAGGAGGTTGTTTCCTGCTTTCTCTTCTAAGGTTTTGATGATTTCCTAGCTCACATTCAGGTCCTTCATCCATTTTTAGTTTATTTTTGTGTATGGTGTAAGAAAGTGGTCTAGTTTCATCTTCTGCATATTGCTGTCCAGTTCTCCCAGCACCATCTGCTAAAGAGGTTGTCTTTTTTCCATTGGCTACTCTTTCCTGCTTTGTCAAAGATTAACTGGCCATACATTTGTGGGTCCAATTCTGGGTTCTCTATTCTATTCCATTGGTCTATGTGTCTGGTTTTGTGCCAATACCATACTGTCTTGATGATTACAGCTTTGTAGTACAGGCTAAAGTCTGGGATGGTGATGCCTCCCATTTTGGTTTTCTTCTTCAATATTACTTTGGCTATTTGGGGTCTTTAGTGGTTCCATACAAATTTTAGAACAGTTTGTTCTAGTTTTGAGAAGAATGCTGGTGCAATGTTGATTGGGATTGTATTGAATTTGTAGATTGCTTTGGGTAGTATTGACATTTTAACAACATTTATTCTTCCAATCCATGAGCATGGAATGTTTTTCCATTTCTTTGTGTCTTCTTCAATTTCCTTTGTAAGTTTTCTATAGTTTTCAGCATACAGAGGTTTTACATCTTTGGTTAGGTTTATTCCTAAGTATTTTATGGTTTTTGGTGCAATTGTGAATGGGATCAGTTCCTTGATTTCTTTTTCTATTGCTTCATTATTGGCATATAAAAATGCAACCGATTTTTAAGAAAGCAATGTTAAGCCACTGTGGAATGAAAACCCTTGGTTTTCTTCTCTGTTGTACTCTCTGCTACTGCCGTAGTCACGCTTCAGTACTCTGGTTAGCGAATGTGGGTTGGGTTGGATCACTTGCTCACAGAACTCAGGCAAATGACTACTATTGCCTATTTATTACAAAGGATATTTCAAAGGATCTAAGAACAGCCAGATGGAAGAGATGCACAGAGCAGGGATGGGGGTGCAGAGGCGTCCACACCCCTCCAGGTGTACCACCCTCCCAGCACCTGTCCTCGGCACCATCCTTTTGGGTTTTATGAAGCTTTGTTACATAGGCACGATGGATTAAATCACTGGTTGCTGATGATTAATTCGACCTCCAGCCTCACTCTTCTCCTTGGAGGTGGGGGAGGCAGGAGAGCACCCTCCCTAATCCCAGGGTTGGTTCCCTTGGCAACCCACCCCCCATCCTTTGCAGCTTTTCCAAAAGCCACTTCATTAACATAAACTCAGGTATAACTGAAAGAGGTCTGTTACGAATAACTTCATCTTTCTTATCACTTAGGAAATACCAAGGTTTTAGGAGCTTTGTGCCAGGTACTGGGAGAAAGACCAACAAATACATGTTTCTTATTAGAAATCATAATAGCACAATCATTCTGGGCTGTTTTATCTTTACCGTTATTGCTTACCTAGAGAAGCCGTAGCATTTCCAACCACGTACACCGACTTAGCATTCCACTTTTCTTTCAAAGAATCTTTCCAGACTGTAAAACATGGAATGATACGTTAACCGCAAATACCATAAGTGGCCGATTGCACTGTTGCCCAAAGGTGCCCGTTCAGCCTAAGACACTTGTGAACAAGGCAAACTATTTATCACCAAATGTAAAGAGAAGCATCTCAAACCAAAATTCCATTTTTATTCTGTTCATATTCAGCAGGCAGATTTTTTTTATTTGAAAGAAAATTTTTAAATATTTATTTTGAGAGAGAGAGAGACAGAAACAGAGAGCAAGCAGGGGAGTGGCAGAGAGAGAAGGAGACACAGAATCCGAAGCAGGTTCCAGGCTCTGGGTTGTCAGCACAGAGCCTGATGCGGGGCTTGAACTCATGATCAGTGAGACCATGACCTAAGCTGAAGTCGTATGCTTAACCAACTGGGCCATCCAGCGCCCCTCGGGCAGGCAAAGTTTTAAAAATCACTTTGGTAAATGTTTCAGTATGCCTTGCTTAAAATATTAACTCATTCCCACAGTCAGCACTAGAAGCATGTTTAGTGTGTACCAGAAAACAAATATAACTTGAAGAATTAATTTGCAAGGTGACATTAAAAATTTAAAACCGAGGGGTGCCTGGGTGGCTCGTACATTGACTCTTGATTTTGGTTCAGCTCATGATCCCAGGGTTGTGGGGTACTCAGCATGGAGCCTGTTTGAGATTCTCTCTTTCTCTCCTTCTGCTCCTCCCCTACTCATACATTTTCTCTCAATTTTTTTTTAATTAAAAAATACAGACTTTCATTTATTTAAAAAAATCTTTTTAGTAATCTCTACACCCAACTTGGGGCTCAAACTCATGACCCTGAGATCGAGAGTCACACGCTCTTCTGAATGAGCCAGACAGGCGCTCCTAAAAATCTATACTTTTGAAGAGAAAAAGTCACTGGTCATTGAAACATGGCAACTTAACATCTAATTAGGCAATACAGCTGGTTTTATTTGGGACATAAATCTGAAAGCAGTCAAGGAGCTGTAATCTCTGCCGAGAGGACTTATTTTTCCATTAGGTCAAAGGAAAGATAATATATTTCAGGGTCATAAGCAAACACAATTTTATGACAAAAACAAACATCTCTAAATGTGGATGAAAGAAATATAAAGAGAAAACGGGTTGTACAGATAGATTATCAGGCCACTGGGGGTTCAATATTGAACAGTGTTCAGTACTGAACACTTTTTTTAGAAGACAGGAAAATATGAGCTCTCCCTTCTTAGAATCTGATTATGAGCAAAACTTTCCCCTATATTTAAGTGTGACACTACCTTTTGCACTCCCATTGGAAATTTCCTTTTATTTACTTTTTTTATAAAAAGATTTTTATTTTTTTAAATAACCTCTACACCCAGCGTGGGGCTCAAACTTATACCCCATTACCAAGAGTTGTATGCTCCAGCGACTGAACCAGCCAGGCAACCCCGCCTGGGGAAACTTCCTTTGAAAAAGTAACCAGAGATTGAGTTTCACCTTCTTTCCTACCCCACCAATGTAAATAATATTTATCTGAATATTACCCTATCGCATGTGGGCAAACCATCCTCCAAGCCTCGTAGCTGACATTTCTTTTCAGCAGGAGGTCAGTGTGTATACGAACCCATCAAGAAGGTGATTTTTTAGGCTAGAACAGAAACCTGATTGAACATAGAGAGACGATAACTGTTCACCACTGCTGCTTACTCCCACCAGCCCACCATGAGCCAGGCAACATCCTAAATGTTTCTTTTTGGGACTCACACCGGTAGCTGAAATCACAAATCTGCAACTTACAGACCCTGTGGTCTTGATGCGTCATACCCTCTTGTTCTTCAAGCTCTGGCAAGTCGTATCTACCTCAAGGGTAAAGCATTTAGCATGGGGTTTGGCACAGGGAGGGCACTCCTAAGTTCTAGCTAGCTGACAGTTAGAAGTGATGATCCTGGGGCACCTGGGGGGCTCAGTCGGTTGAGCATTTGACTTCGGCTCAGGTCATGATCTTGCATTCGTGGGTTTGAGCCCCGTGTTGGGCTCTGTGCTGACACCTCAGAGGCTGGAGCCTGCTTTGGATTCTGTGTGTGTCTCTCTCTCTCTCTGCCCCTCCCCTGCTCGTGCCCTTTCTCTGTCTCTCAAAAAATAAAATGTTAAAAAAATTTTCTTAAAAAGTGATGATCCTGGAATGGAAGGATTATTTATTATGCCCACTTTATAGACAAGGACACCAAGGCTCAGTGTGGTCAAGGAACTGGCCAAGATCAGTGTGGCCATCTGAAGCCAGGCCTAACTTGCTGCAAAGCCACTCTGTAACAACCCCTGGCTGAGGCCTCCACTGATAACTAGGGCAGGGCAGGCCGGGGTCTGAAGCCCACTGTGCGCTGACTGGTTCTGTGGCCTTAGATGAGCGCTTCCCAAGCCGCAGCTTCCTTCTCTGTACAGCAGTGAGGACCAGAGCACGCTCCGGCCAGCAGTCTAGTGATACATGAGGTAAAAAATGGAAGGTATGTATCAGAGCCTGGTATACATTAGGCACTCCATAAATGTCAGCCACCAAGTGGTCTGACTGCAAAGCCTAAGGTGGCTGTTCAGTCTGAAACCTGGGCTCTGCTCACATGTTCTGATGGAGCGGGAAGGAGGCAGGAAGAAGGGTTAAAGAGATGGTCCTGTGATTAAGTGCCTGGCGTGCACCGGCCATTTTCTCAAAGCTGCTGGGTCTTCTCATCCCCTTGAGGAAAGAGACGGCCACCAGTGTATGCTGAGGACAGGGAGGACCACCTGGCAGGTGAACTGCTCAGGGACTGGGGACTTAAGGAGGCAGCCCTGTCACCTGTATCCCAAGGCAGTATCTGTGACACGGCACCACGAGGCGCTTACTCCAGTCAGGCTAATGGGTTAATGTGTCACTTTGTGTGGGACGTTAAGAGTCAGCTTATAAGAAGAAAGGCCATTTTCTGCTTCCTCCAAAGGTTACACAAACATGAAGACACTTGGTACCTGAATCCTTTTTTGAGTTAAAATTCATTGAGATTTTTCAAACCTGAAGGGCAGCTCTTTCTGGCATCTGATATCCTCAGTAGGAAGAATCAGAGTAAAGAAACGTCCAGTGGAATTTACAACAGCGTCTCCCCTACCTTCAGGTTTTAGTTTTTTGTTTTTGTTTTTGTTTTGTTTTGTTTTGTTTTGTTTTGAGAGCGAGAGCGAGCAGGGGAGGGAGACAGCGAGAGAATCGTAAGCAGACTCCACACTCAGCACTGGGCACAATGTGGGACTTGAGCCCATGACCGCAAGATCATGACCTGAGCCAAAATCAAGAGTCAGGTTGTAACTGACTGAGCCACCCAGGGACCCGCCCTCTCCCCACCCCCACTCACCTTCAGTTTTATTGTCCTTCTCCAAACACAGTTCCACTGCTTCCACTGCTCTGGGGCTGGTAAAAATGAGTCCCCCGTAGCCTTCAGGATGAGACAGCTGCATGCCAAATAGCAACAAAGGCATGTTTTACATAAAGACCAAGTTCAACATTTCCCAGCATTCCAAATGCTTCACAGGAGGAAATTCCTCCCTCCCTCCCTCCCTTCCTTCCTTCCTTCCATCCATCCATCCATCCATCCATCCATCTACTCAACACCAACTGGGAGCATACGAAATGCCTGGAACTGTGCACTATTCATGTGAATTCACTATTCACACTCTCGGGTGAACGCAGGTGAGTTCACCATTCATGGCACTTCCCTCAAGCAGCTCACAGCCCAGGGGTGGGGGGTGGGGCGCGGGGACAGGGAAGGGAGCCATAGGGTGGTAAGTAGGACAGGTGCAGACGGGGGCCATCTGACCCAGCCTGGGCTTGGGCGGGGTGCCGGCAGACTGGACCTGCGTCTGTAATAAAACTGCAATCCTCAAGGGGTGATATCGATGCTGAAGCCCTGATTTTCAAAGATGATAAGATCTACTGAACATTGCCGTTTTTACCTGTTTTCTCCCCAAACCTGGGAAAGTACCATGTGAGATGGGTGGGGGTGTCATTATCTCCCAGATGAAGACACAGCCCTGGAGAGGCTAAGGAGCTGGTCCAAAGTGCGCGGCAGAGCCAGGGCTCAAGCGCGTGCTGAGACCCTCCTCACGGCATAGGAGCTTCGAGAGGGCTCAGGAGAGCCCCGGAGGGCACGCTGGCTGGTGGAGACAGAGAGGGGCCTGTGGAAACTCTGGTATCTCTATGAGCCCGAGTCTAAGAAGCGATTTCAAGTGATGAGATCTTTGGCGCCTTGCAGGGCTGCTTACGGAAGAGCGTGCCTACTGGGGCCCCGCTGACACAGTCCCCTCAGCACACGACCCAGCGCCTAGGAACGGAACAGATGCCCGGTCGATGTTTGCTGGGGAAACTACCGAATAAATGGTGCAATATTCAGCCCGGGTCTAAGGGAAACACATGCTTCCGTACAGAGCTGCTGGCAGGCCTGTGCCGGGCGAAGCAGGAGGGGTGCCGTCAGCGCTCACTCAGCCGTGGGGCCTGGGAGGGGGGCTGGGCACCCCGGTCCCATGGATCCACCGCAGCTCTGGGCCCGTGTGTCCAGGGGAGCCCCCGCTCCTGGGGCTGGCCACACACTAATGAGGTGGCCTGAGTGCTGAACCTTCGATCTGAAATGTTTGCGAGGTCTTTCTGAGGCCGTGTCTGGCGGGACCCTCACGACAGCACCGGGCAGCGAGCGGACGCCGTGCGGAGCCGCGCTCTGACTGGCTGGAGGGCTCGGCCGAGTGGCCCAGCCTGGGGCCTAGCTCTCAAAGGGCACGGTGACATGACAGCCAGCCGGTGTTCACCATGTTCACCACGGCGCGGGTGAACGGGAGGGCTAGCTGGAAGGGCCCACTGCTGAGAGCCCCCCACAACCCGCTCTCCCTGCCCCACAGGCCCCGCCTCCGGGAAGGGGTGGCTTTCTGGGGGAGCAGCTGGGGGCCCACGGACACTCCAGGAGCCGCATCCACTGGGCCCAGGTGAGAATGTGCTGCCCTTGTTTAAAGTCTGCTCGTACAACGAGGGGGTAGTGCAGAGCTCCTACCGGCTTGGGTTGGCAACGATTCTACAGAGACTCAGAAATTATGGTACTCAGACACTGACAGACTTACCTTCTCAGAAAAACTGGAAAGAGACAAAAACTCAAATGATAAAACAGGGATCAGAGTGGCTTCAAGTCCATATAATCCTAGTTCCTGCAAATACAAGAATATAGTTCTGGATTGGCCAGGGCTGTTTGGAAAATAGGGAAAGGGTCACAGCAACAACTTGCTTGGTGTCAACTCCTCAGGAGGCTGGCAGACACACACCCCCCCCCCCCCCCCGTAAGACAGCATTAGGCTTCGCAGGACCAGGGGCCTCCGGCACTTACCCTGACGTATGGATCTTGGCCACAATCATCCTCCTTAGAGTCTTTTAGTAGAAGAACCTTCATTGTCCCCTGGCAGTCCTTACAGGGTGCTGTGACTGAGCAGGGAAACGGATGGATCTTAATTAGATCTCAAGGACCCTTCCTGAGCCGTGTGGGACAGAAGCAGGGGAAGAAGGTAATCAGCTGCTGCCTGAGGTGACCCGTCCCTCGCCCACAATGACTTAGCGTTCATGGGCTTGTTCCTTCTGAAGACCTTGTCGCTGATAACACCAAGGGACAGCATGCTGGCCCTTGATATCACTTGGAAAGGCAGATGAAAGCCATTAGGGAAAGCCAGTGTCCTGGCCACACATTTAAAGAGAAGTGACACAAATTTGGGGTTGTATATCAATACAAATAGTAGAGAAATTATTTTAAGGAAATAAACAAGTACTTCTGTTCCAAGGTAACCATACTAAATAGTTCATAAACTCTTTAGGAAATAATTAGGTTGACCTTCCTACTTCTCAGATGATGTTTTATAAATGTTATCAAATATTATGAGACACCTTTCAAAAGTTTCCTCTAACAGCCGGGAAAATAATTCGTTGATATGTATCAAAAGCCTCATACATTTCATACTCTTTGTTTCTATGATTTTACTTCTAAGAGTAAATACCAAGGCACGACTCATAAATGTGTGCAAAGACTAACATAAAGCTGTTCATCCTGGTATTTTTTCTTTTAATGAAATAATTGACATTGGACACTATAAATTTGTAAATTTCAGATATTCAGCTGTTGACTTGGTACATTTATATACTGAGGTGTGATCACTATAGCAGTGATGTTAGCTAACACCTCTGCCAGGCCTCCTCATGACCTCTTTTCTGTGGTGGAAAGAGCTGAGATGAGCTCTCCGGGGATCTCTGAAGCCTGTGATATAGTGTTGTTGGCTGTGATCACCGTGTTGTGCATTAGGGTCTCCAGGACTTTCCCTCTTCCAGGGGCAAGACTGTAGGATTTACAGTGGGAAACAGAGTAAATGTCCAACGGTGAGAAAATGGTACAGTCATGTGAAATCATCAAAATAGTCGTTAATAACTTAATTACATGGATCACCAAATAATGTTAAGTTAAAAAAAACTGGATGCATACATAGTGTGACTTTATAGATTTTGTATATACATATAGGTGAAAGAATCTGCACCAAAATACACTAATGATTATCTCTGGGGGGGCATGTTAGGGTGACTGTTTTGTTTTCCTCTTTCTGTATTATCCACATTTTTTTTTCTTGCAATAAACATTAAATTCTTTTGTATCATGGCGTGGGCGGGGTGGAATTCAATATGACCACCCCAAAGGCCTCAAAATGAATATTGCTGGAGAACTGTGAATAAACCCTCCTGAGATGTGGATTACGATCCCGTTACTTACTTACCTACCTACCAGTTACTTACTTACTAAATACTACACAAGCGGCTGATAACAGTCAAACAGCACATATTGTTTGGAGCAGAAATGTGTTAACTCCGGGCACCATTACTTGTTAGTTATGACTGAATGGGTTCTGGAACATTATAATATCTACGGGACGTCTTACAGAAAATCTGGCTCAAAATGAATTGCTTTGTATCTAAGCAACCAACCCTGGGTGAACAAATAATAATTATGAAATCAAGTTCTAATTACTGCTGCCACCGAGCTGTTAGCTACAGAGGCTGGAGATTTGGGAAAATGGGCAGTCTCATTTCTGTCATTTCCTGAAGGTACTTGGCATGTGTCTGCCTTTTAGGAAGTTAGGAACCTGCCTTTTTTTTTTTTTAATTTTTTAAAATGTTTTATTTATTTCTGGGAGAGAGAGAAAGAGTGTGCGCAGGGGAGGGTCAGAGCGAGAGGGAGACACAGAATCTAAAGCAGGCTCCAGGCTCTGAGCTAGCTCTCAGCACAGAGCCTGACGTGGAGCTCGAACCCACTAACCATGAGATCATGACCTCAGCCGAGGTCGGACGCTTAACCGACTGGTCCCCCCAGGCACCCCAGCAACCTGCCTTTCTAAGACAGTCGTGCTCACGGGTCAGCCCAGCTAGGATCTGGTCCCCAGTTATTCACGAGTGCTAACGGAGGCATTGCGGTAGAGGTGCCCTGGAGACAGGACAGAGTCCATCACCGGGGGGCGTTTAGCCTGGGAGATTACCCTAGAGAATCTGGGAGGGCCTCCTCCAGTCAGTGGAAGGCCTTACGGGCAGAACCCAGGCTTCCCTGAGGACGAATTCCCACCTGGTGACACAGCGTCAGGTCCGCCTGGGCCGGCCTGCCCTCCTCGGCTTGCACCCTGGGTCTCAGACTTGCATGAGGCCGTCACTTGCAGTAGGCCGCCTAATCCCTACCGCCCACCAGCTCTGCTTCTCTGCTTGAACCCTGACTGATGCTGAGAGCCCCTTCCGGGGCTCCAGGAATCTGCAGGTCACCAAGTGGCAGATAAAGCTTAGCATTTTCTGTTAACGCATACACGTGTCCAAGCACACAGGACAAGCAAGCATTGTGGGGATTAAAAAGTGGAAGCCTAATGCTGTTGGAAGGAGGCCGTTCTGGGCCACAGCCCTCAGCGCCCCCATGTCCCCGGCATGGTTCTAGGCTCTGGGCTGTGGATCCCCAAGGTTTCAAAGGCTATGCTAGTATTGCTTTCAAATTCCAGGAGCCAGCCTCTCACAAAAGTATTTCTCTGTTGTTCTCAGGCAGTGACACCTGCAATCTGCCTTGGGGATTAGGTCTGCATTATTCATTGGGGAAGGGGCATAAGTTCAAGTACTACTAAGTGCTATATAAGGTGATGGGGGAGAGGTGACTGGGTGCTGATAGCTCGGTGCCTCTCCAGGGCCACCTCTCTGAGAAGGTGACGTCTTAGTTGAGATCAGAATGACAGCGGCAGTGAGGAAAAATGTTTGCATTAGTAAACTAAGCGCTTTGGTACCAGAGTGATACTTTTTATCTTCCTGCCTCCCTGTTCTCCCAAACACTGGGTGGGGTGTGCAAAGTATAGAAGAGGCGGCATAGTATAGGTTTTGGGGGCCCAGCCTTGAGCACCAGTCTGCCTGCCTGTGACACCGCCACCCAGCTCTGTGACTGCTACCGGGCTCTGCCACTTATCAGTTCAGGGACCCTGGAGTTCTGCCTTCTTCGTGGCAGCTTCCTCACCCATGAAACAGGCCAACCTCATCAATTTCATGCAACTGAAGCGTTCAGTCTCTGGTGTATGGTGAGTGCTCAGTAAGTGTTAGCGGTTACTTTATGTCCTGAGTCACTTGGCCACCCGACGGCTTGGTACCACAGAGGTGACTGCCACTCCACAGAGGAGGAGACGATCACACCAAGGGGGGGAGAGCTGCTCCGTGACACCACACTGCCCTCCTTTTGTCACCCCCCAAAGAGGAAAGGGCAAGCAGATGTGAGACAGGGTGAGGAGAAATCAATCTGTAAACAAGGTTCCCACTCCTGGTACAACCCAGTGAGGCCCTGTCCAGCCCCGTGTCCCCACGCCACCCTGCACTCCAGCTGCCCCGGACTTCTCTCCGTCTCTCAGTCTTGCCCTTCTCAGGGCTTCTTGCACTAACTCCTACACCAGGGCCCGGGCAGGGGTTAGCGGATATGCCCTCAGGTGTGCTCTCAAGGTGGAGCCAACAGTACTTAATGGGGCCGGAGCAGGGTGGAGGACAGAGGGGCTGAGTTTACAGCCCGAACAACAGGGAGGATGGAAGCACGGTCAGGGGACGCGAAGGGAAGGGGATCAAGGCTCATTTGGGACATGTTACGTTTGAGGACGCCTATCCCGCACCCGCGTGCCTCAGCCCGACTGTGTGCCACGAGCAGCCTGCAGGGCTCTCGGCCCCGGGCAGCCGGTGGGGCCCCGGGCAGCCAGAACCATGGCCGCCCCAACCAGGGCTGGCTGCCTTGATCTGGAAACTGTACACCCTGTCTATGTGCCACAATGTGCTGGATAAATGCTAGCATTTAGTAGGTCCACTCTAGTGTTAAACGAGTTGGAGAGTCCTGGCATTAGATGCCCAAATGGAGAAAGTGGGCAGGCAGTCTGGGCTTGGGGTGGGGGGAGGTGTCAGGTCAAAGATTTGGGCGTTGTCAGTGCATACAGGGTATGTTCTGAGGCCCCAGGGCCTGGTGACAGGAGGAGGAGGCCCAGGACAGAGCCCTCCAGTGCCCAGGTGATGCCAGGTCAAGCTGGGCAGGGGAGAGCCTAGCGAAAGAGAAGGAGGGCAGACTGCAGTGAGTCTTCATCATTCCAGAATTCCATCGATACCAGAATTCCGAAGACGAGGGGGCTAGACAGCAGACGTTTATTTGCTCACAGTTCTGGAGGTTGGAAGTCCAAGATCAAGGCGTCCTCGTGGTTGGTTCCTGGTGAGCTCTCTTCCCGGCCTTAGAGACTAGCGTCTCCTGGCTGTGTGCGCATGTGGTCTTTCCTCTGTGTTTGTGCGGAGAGAGACCTCTGGTGTCTCCTCTTCTGGGAAGGGTACCAGACCTATAGGACCAGGCCTCCTCCGAGTGGGTATTAGGGCTTGACCGCCCAGTGACCTCGGCTAATCATTACTGCCTTTTCTTTCTTTTTTTTTTTTGAGTAGGCTCTACGCCCAAAATGGGGTTTGATCTCATGACCCTGATATCAAGAGTCACATGCTAGATCCATTGAGCCAGCCAGTGTTCCTCTTCATTACCTCTTTAAGGGCACTATATCCAAATAAAGTCATGTTGGGGATTAGGGCTTCAACATACGAATGGGGGGGTGGGGTGGGGGACACAATTCAGTCCATAACAGAATAAGTTCTAGAATTAAGTGGAGGTAATGATGTAGATACAGGAAGTGAAGATGACTCAGTTTTGCTATGAAGAGGAGAAACAAGGCCATGGCTGGCGAGGAAGGCAGTGGGTCAAGGGACGTCCCAGGGGTACCTCCCCACTCCCCAACGCACACAAACAGGAGACACCAGAACCAAGGCGGGCACTGAGCTGGAGTTCCGGACTATCAGCAAGTCAGAGAGAACCGTGCGATGCACTTGGGGAGCACTGAGCAAGGACCTTTGGCAGCACTCTCTCCCCGGAGTTCCTGGGGTAGCACATTCTGCCTTGCTCACCTTGCAGAAGCTCCTGTATTTTATCACAAGGAGAAGTAAGAAAGGACCAGCTGGCCAGAAAGGTGGCCTGTCAACTAGACAGGGCGGGGCTCTGCAGTCCTACCTTCCTTTACCCAAGAAACACTGAATCCCTCCTGTGTGATGCTGAGAACTGGGTGCTGGTTAAGGGACAAACAACACCTAACACCCACTCTCAAGATGCTCCAGGGCTGGTGGGGGGAGACTGACAACCACAGAACTGTGAGCTAAGTGTTGACACACACACACACACACACACACACACACACACACACACACAAGTACTGCCTATTGCAAACTGCCAGCATTCAGAAGAAAGGCTTTAAAAGTCTGCACTTGGGCCCAGGCCTCCGCTCATTCAGAATTCATCTTCTGTGGCCGAGGGTTTAGGATGATGTGTGCACCTGCCAGCTACTTTGTATAGAAGGTCTGGCACAATTAAAAAAAGGGAGTTCAGCAGCAGATTCATGCCGAATAGGCTGGAGACAGGTAGAGCCAGCAGAGATGCTTTTGCTGACCAGAGCCTGGAGTGTTCTAGGGCTTGGGGCGGGCGAGGGGGTTCTCAACGAGTGCGCAAGCCCCTTCTCGGCACTGTTCATCTGCACACGGAGCTCCTTCAGTTGTTCCCATCAAGAAGCTCATGTACCTACCACCCAGTGGCCTGCTATGAAAAGCTAGCAGCGAAATGGTAGATCCTTGCACTTGGGCTGTTAGGCTCTGAATCCAAAATTTATGTGCTGAAGTCCTGACCCTCAGTACCTCAGAATGTGACCTTATTTGGAAATAGGGTCCTGGCAGATGCAGTCAAGTTAAAATGAGGTCATTAGGGTGGGCCCTAATCCAATAGGGCTGGTATCCTTGTAACAAGGGGAGATGTGGACACCCAGACACGCACTCAGGGAACACAGAGATCGGGGTGATGTATTAACAAGCCGAGGGACGTCAGAGATGGCCCGCCAGCCGCCGGAACTGGGGGAGAGGCCCAGAACAGATTTCTCAGAACAGCCCTCGGAAGGACCCAACCCTAATGACATCTTGATCTTAGAATTCTAGCCTCTGCAACTGGCTGAGACAATTCATTTCTACCCTATACACCACCCAGTCTGTGGCCCTTCGATACGGCAGCCTGGGAACCAATACAGCCTCCTTCAAGTTGAAGCCTGGATTGTCATGTCCACATGGGAATTCTGTTATCCCTGCATTTCTCCCGGACCAAGTTGAAAGCTCCCTGCTTGAAGACACTCCTGTTACCTGCCTCGCAGCAGGAGGAGGAGGGAGCCAGGAACAGGAGACAGGCAGGGCTATCCCCAGGCTTTTAAATAAGGAGGACCATACACGAGCCACTTTAGAACTTTAGGGAAGAGGCTCGTCAGAGGGGAAGGGTTTTGCACTGTGGGGGAGGGGCGAGGCCCGTGTTCTGGTCTAGTCTGCTTGTCTCCGGCCCTGTGGTTGTGCAATGGACAGAGTCCCCTGGGCTGCTGGTTGTTTTGAGGGACTTTCTTCCCCATATTGGATGCTCAGTAAGTATTTGTTCTCACTGAGGGGAAACAACTCTTCAGAGTTACCCAGCATCTCCGGAGCAGGGTGAAATGATCTCTTTTCCTTAAACCAAGGGAAAGAAACGACTTCATGAAGACCACTTCCCTGGCAAGAAAGAGCCAGGCCTCAGTCACACTTTCTGGCTGCATCCTGCTGCTCTCTCAGCAGTAACAACAGCTGCCCTTTTATTGAGCACTTACCCTGTGTTATGTAAGGGGCCAAGCATTTTACATGGCGGGATCTCAACCCCCATTTAAACCAGCAAGGTAGGTATTATTATCCTTAATTCGCAGAAGAGGAAACCAAGACTGAAGGACTGAGCACTGGGCCCAAGGTCACACAACACAGTGAGTGGCAGCGGGTGGAATTTAATCCACGTCTACCATCTCGGCTCTTTTAAGATACTCTACACTCTGACCGTTATCTCAACCCGGGAGCTAGTCTGAGGGCACAAGTTAGGCTTTTCCCCTGATCTCTTATCAAAGCAATGCCTAATCACTGTGGAAAGTTCGCAAAAAATACCAAAAAGTATAGTTCCTCAAAAAACAGTACACAGAATTATCATATGACCAATCAGCTCCACTGCTGGGTACAGACACCGCAAAATTTAACAGCAGGGACTCAAACAGGTTATTTGTATGTCCAAATTCACAGCCGCAATATTCCTAAGAGTCAAAAGGTGGTGGCAACCCACATGCCCACCAATGGACAAATGGATAAACAAAATGCGGTATATACGCACAACGGAGTATTATTCCGCCTTAAAAAAAGGAAATTCTGACACCTGCTACATGGGTGAACCTCGGGTGAACTTGTACTAAGTGAAATAAGTTGTCACAGAAGAATAAACATTATAGGATTCCACCAGAGTAGTCAGTCATAAAGGCAGAGAACAAAGCAGGGGGGGGTGTGTCCAGGGCCTGTTGGGGGGAGGGTAGGAAATGAGGAATTCTAGTTTAATGGACACAGAGTTTGATTTTACAAGAAGGTCTGGGGATGGATGGTAGTGATTCTTGCACAATAACGTGAATATACTTGATACCCACTCAACTGTATACTTAGAGATTACCCATACTGTCTGAGCGCACCTCTGTTGATAAATTGGCACCATGCCTTCCGAGTCTTTTTTGTAATTTGAGCCTTGTAATAGGTTTTTGTTTTGTTTTTTTATAGCTTCCTTTCTTCCATATTAGAGGAAGATGTTTTTACATAGTTGTGGGACCCAAAGGGGTCATTTTAAGCTACCCAATCAGATGTGAATCCCTGATAGGGAGGTCTACAGATACCCATATTGTGGGCTGGTAGCAGACACTCCCAGGAAAGATGGAACTTACAGAAAACAGTCATGGGGACTCTGGGTTCTGGGGACCATTATGTCACCCTGACTCCATTTCCTGCTGCTGAAGGATCACTGAGGAAAGGTCGGCCTAACCCTCTGGGCAGCGCCTTCCGTTGTTTACAATCACAGCTCTCCAATCCGCTTTCCTCATTTTACAGAGGAAAACACGGTTAAACCACAGACCTTCTTTTCAGAAAGCTGCCGTCTTCTTTAATTAAGGACCTTCTTTCCAAATCATCTTTACAATGGCTGCTTACTGGTGGCCCAGGTGAGAAATCTGGTGAGAAGCTGAATTTTATTCGGCCCAGGATCGATCTTGTAAAACTCCAGAACCTCCGGGTGCTCCTGATCTTGACAGGTGACGCTCCGACGGCACTGGGCCGGAGCCCCACTTGGCCACCACCCGCCGCCGCTGCAGCGCTCACCACGGCCCCTCCACTCCGTTCTGAGTGGGCTCTGCTCTGCAGCTGAGATTTCCCCACTAGACCCGAAGCACTGAAGGTTAAAGAAACTTTCAGGTCCAGAAATGCGCTGAAAGAGCGCTGGCTGGGGGCGGGGCTTAGGGTGGGATTCGTTCAAACGCTGACAAGGTTACGCCACTGGCGGTGTTGGGGGGCCCCCTCGGGGCCAGGCCTGACCTTGCCGCGCGGGCATCTGCGCTCGGGCCGACCGCTGCCCCCAGGGCCGGGGCCCCCCGGCCAAGCCAGCGGCGACCGGAGCTCCGCCCGCTCCTCGTCACGCTCCCGCTAGGCCTCGGTGTCATCGTCGGCACCGTGGGCGGCGACACCTACCTCGCCGGGCTGCACAGGCCCGAAAGGCTAGGCGCTGAGGCCGTGCCGAGCACTCGGCGGGCGCCCCGTCAGGGGCGGAATCTCGCGGTGCCAACGAGCCTGCGGTGCCGCGGCGGGAGCTGGGAGCCGGGTGGGCGGCCCCCTCACCGCGCGGCCGCCGCTGCCATGGAGACGGCCCGCGCGCGCCCGCGGGGCCCCAGCACTGCGGCCGGGGTCCGGGAGCAGGAGCCGCTCCCAGTTGGCGCTCGCGCAGGCGCACCGACGCGCAGGCCCGGGGAGGAGGGGCCGAGATGGGTCGAACCACTGAGCAAAGGGGATGGGGAGCGTTGTAGGGCGTGAGGGAGGACGGCGGCGGGGAAGAAAATGCCAAAATAGGACCCAGGCTGGACTTGACTCCTAGAGACCACGGCCGTGGACGCCAGCAGGGGCTTTGAGGTTGACGCCGACTCAGCGCCGAGGTTCTTCGTGGTCACTCATCCCCCCCGCGGCTCGCATGGGTGAGTCCGGAAGGGCGGGTTGGAGCGAGTTGCGCAGGCGCAGTGAGGCCGGCATCATGGCGTCCAGGCCCAAGCGGCGTGCCTTGGGTCGCGGGGCTCCGCGGGTTCCAGGTGTTCCGGACCCGCGAGTCGAGGAAGAAGACGAAGATGAAGTGGAGGATGAGGACGAAGATGATGAAGACAGTGACGAAGAAGAGGATGAAGACGACGAGACTGTCGACGAGGTGAGACCCCACAGGCGACCCCAGCGTGTTGATAGCTGGGTACCAACTTTCCGGCCGCCAAAGCCCTGTGGCTGCGAGCTGCCGGGAGCAGCGGCTGCCGTACCTGAGGGTCTGTCAGCGGAAACTGGAGACGACGCACTCAGTTTTTTTTTTACACGGGGCATACACAAATTATTCTCAGAAGTCTTACTCCGCCGGGCCAGCCCCCTCCCACCTCCCGAAGAAAACGCACCGCAACGCTTCTCAGTGGCTCTTTTTAGTTCTTAGGCTAAAACCCCAAATCCGGAGTAGACGGTCTACACCGGGGCCCTGCAGCCACTCCGCCCGGCTCTGCCTGCCCGCCTGCCTCACTCACAGCGGCCCCTTTCCTTTTCTTGAAGGCCTTCTGCTCGTTCTTCCCAGAGCTGGTCTTCGCCCCGCGGTGTGTTCCATCCTTTAGGTCGCAGCTGACCAGTGTCTGCCTCCGGGGCACCTGACCTTGTCCGTTCGCCACGTCCGGGTGATACGTTCCCCTAGAACTGGGTTCCTTCCCCCCCTCCCCCAAGAATAGCTCCTACGCTGCTGATTGGAGTTATAGGTAGTTAATATCTGTTGACCGAGTAATTAGGAGTGAATGATCCTTAAGAGCACGAATGCCCCATAAGTACCTAAAGCTTAGTGCGCCCAAAGCAGAATTTGTAATTCATGGCCTCAGCTTCTCAGGTTTGCGATTTCTATAAATGGTCCCCACATTCGCCTGTTGTTCAAACCCAAAACCCAGTAATTAACTTCAGTTCCTCCCTCTTTGTCATCCCACATCCAGTGTCTCAGTAAATCCTGTTAGCACTGTCTTTGTGTCCAGACGCTTTTCAGCATCGATTCTCTGGAGTCGAAGGCCACCCTTCCATCATCGCCTGCCTGGATTCCTTCAGTAGCTCATTTTTCTCCCATTCTAGTTCCTGTAGCATCTCTACACCTGAAGCCAGAAGGATCGTTTATTTATTTTTACAAGATGCTAGGAATGCTAAGTCCCATATTTTGAAATTTATTTTTTAGTAATCTCTAAGGCCAACGTGGGGCTCGAACTCATGACCCCGAATTCAAGAGTCACATGCTCTTCCAGTGGAGCCAGCCAGGGAGATCTTTTTAAAATGTAGGCCTTTTCTCTTTTCCTTGTTCAGAATATTCCAGTGATTTTTCCATTTCATGAATGAGAAAATCCAAAGTCCTCCCAGTTGGTGGACAGAAAGGCAGCTCATGTGGCCACAACAGAATAATCAAGAGTGATGGGAAATCAAGTCAGGGGTAAACATGAGTCAGAAGTGTGGATTCAGGATTGGGGCTGAGACTGGCGTGGGTATATGATAAATCCTGAGTGAACAGAGCTTTCTCTTACAAATGAGCCCTTTGCCCCCTTGCCTTGAATGTGGTCTCACATTTTTTTCACTTAGAGCTTTAATTGGCTGTTTTGCTAACTTTGGGGTTTTAGAAATCAGTGCTTCTTGCATTAATGTGGATTATCTGTTGCACTCTGGTGATTAAAACCATCAGTGTGGTAACCGTCATTGACATGGCAGGGTAACATATACTGTTAGGGGGAGTGTAGTTTGTTGCATTGCCTGCAGAGGGTAATTTGACAGTATCTGTGAAAGTTTAAAATTGTATACATTCCCTGATTCAGTAAGTCTCCTTGTAAGAATTTATCTTCCAGTAATAATAATAATTATCATGCTGTTCCAGGATCTGTGCACTTTGTATTAACTCATTTAATGCTTACATCAACCCTCTGAAGTTAGGAATTCCCACCACTTAAGACCGAGGACACACGGCAAGTTGAACACCGCACATGTAGTGCGGGGGGAAAGAAGAAACAGGAAATAAATTTGATTCTATGTTGAAAACTCCCTGAAAGACTAACATACTCTTGATAGTAACCTCTCAAGAGTAGGAGCTGGGGGGCCTGGTAATAAGAGCTCAAACCCTGATCTCTGCGCTCCGTGTAGTGTCTGCCAATGACGTGTATCACTTTTCTGGAGAAATTGTTAAGTCCTTACGGGCAGCTCCGCACACTTGGTGGATATTGAATCCTTTATTTATTTGAAGGAGGAGGCTTTTAGCTTCTGAAATGTTCACTCCTCCACAGCTCATTACTGGGATGAATAAATCCATGAGAATTATTTTGGAAATTCAGAATCTGCCCCGGATCTGTTTAAAAGGAAAGAAGGAAGGGTGTGTGTGTGTGTGTGGGTGTGTGTGGGTGTGTGTGGGTGTGTGTGTGTGTGTGTGTGTGTGTCCGTGTCCGTCCGTCCGGATTTAAAAAGCAGGGTGATTGGCTTAGAGGCAGCTGGCAGAGCAGCAATAGAAAGTGGCTGTGAGAACTTCGGGAAACAGGTGGGGGTGCTGAACAGACAAGAAGAAAAGCACTAGGTGTATTTAGTTAAGTTCTCCTGGCCATGGGGTTAGGACTCTTAAGACCCTCGGAGGGTAGCTTCAGCAGAAGGGGGAGTGTGGTAAGGATACAAGGGTATCTTAGACCTCCAAGGCCAGGAAGTAGCTGGGCCTCAGGAACCGGCTGGGGAGCCTGGAATGCTCTGGAGAACTTGAAAAGTCTTTCATGTTTGTCTTCTCTGCGTTACTGCTCTTTGTTGCATTCAAAACATTCAGTTATTTTTCTGTTTCTACACCATAGAACAGAGAATAGAAAATACCAACAGCTTCTGAGATTTGTCACTCAAAAGAGCACGTAGGTGAGATGCCATAGTTCGTGTTAATTCTAAAGCCTGTCTGTCACTTGGAAGAGAAGGGCAGGGCTCAGTGTTACACAGATGGTTGGTTCCCCTGAACTGTGTGGATGGGGAGGCCGTTCCAGGGAGAGCCGTGCTGGCCAGTTAGCCCCTCTGCCATCTGTAGGGGGCGTGCGGCCAGTAATGGCCCAGGACACATGTCCAACGCTTCTGTCCAGACAAGAATAAAAACCAACAACACTGGAAGGGCATTGTTTCGAGAAGTTATTCCTTTATAAGAAATACCTGAATAGTGACGATTTGTTACATGGTTTAGTTTTGACCCTGTTGGGAACACCCTCCTCCCTCCTCTGGGTTTTGCTGCTCACGGAGTCTGGCTGAGCCTACTTCCGAGAGCCAGGATTTGAGGTCTGTAAACTGACCTTGGTATCCAGCCCCTGGCAAATTTGAACAGCCAGGGGAATCCTTAAATATGTGCAGTCAGGATGACTAGGCAGAAGCACGTGCAGTTTTCCTCTGTGGTCTTCTTCAGCTAAGACTCAAATTCCAGAACCTGCTCAACTTGGAAGTATGTGTAAATACGCTCTTTTCTCAGAGCCCCCAAATAAGTGTGTCACTTACTGGGGTATGATAGAGGACAGGTCTTGCGTGGCAGTTATAAGCCTCTAAGGCTTTGTTTTTGGCATGAAGTAATCCTTTATTTATTTGTGGGACACTTCAGGAGCACCTTAGGTTAGAGTCTGAGGTTGTCATCGTTTTGCAGAGAGAGATTAGGAACCCAGCCACACACGGCTTCTTTCAGTGTCTTGCACTCACTCGCCATATTTCCTCCTGCCTCAGGGCCTTTGTGTGTGTCGTTCTCTGTGTGGGAACTCTCACCCTCACTCCCAGCCCAAGTGTCCCTTCTCTAAAGGAAGACATTCTTAACCTATTTTCCAAGCTGTTAACAGCATTGTGCACCTGTGTTTTATTGCAACCTTACATTTGTTTGCATTAGTATTTCCTTAAAGTCTGTATTTCCCCCTTAAACTGTACCCTTCTCCCTGGCACAGTGCTTGGTACAGAGTGGCACTCAGTATTTGCCAAGGAAATGAAGTATAGCCTCAAGAGCCATGGCCTGAATCAAACTCAAGGCAATGCCAGGGACTTTTGAAGTGATTTTGCTTTTTGTTCACCCTTATTGCAGTCAGGTACACAATCTCTCCTTTGTGCTGCTGTGACTTTATGCAGAGCAGATGTGCTCTACACTGAAACTAGAGCACTCTGAGTTTTTGTGTTTCTCAGGCTTTTGTGTCAAATGAGATGGTATGAAGGTGCTTTGTAACCTGTGCAGATGGCAGTCTTGGCACTTTTCTTGCCTATTTAAGCCTAGACAGATCTTCAGATAACCTTTTCTTTGTGTCCTTTTTCTGACATGTTCTGTAGATAGAGCCCAAACGAGGAGGTAGCAGGAAAAGAAAAATCTGCACAGTAGAAAATAATTCCTGAATTATGTGTGGTGACCTATTTTGTATGTTCTTTACAGGAAGTGAATGTTGAATTTGAAGCGTATTCCATCTCAGATAATGATTATGACGGAATTAAGAAGTTACTGCAGCAGGTATGGTCTTTATACTCTTCACACACAACTTGGCTCTTCTGAGAAAACCCAGGCCATTCAGCCAACACAAGCTAGGTCAAATTCCAGCCTTTATTTTAGAATTCCCCTTCCTATCTTGTCTACCCTGCAGAGAAGGAAGAAATGTTTCTCTTCTTTTCCAAGGTTAGTGTGTTAATAAGTGCCTTTTGTCCTAAAATCCTTTCCTTTTCATGTGCTAATTACTTGAACAATTCTGTTTCTCGTTCACATCCAAACTTGGTGGGGCAGAAGAATTCTCTTTTTTGTTTGTTTGTTTTTAAGTTTATTTTTAAAAAGACTAAATAAAGCAGAGGAGGGGCAGAGGGAGAGAATCCCTAGCAGGCTTCATTCACACTGACAGCAGAGAGCCTGACGAGAGGCTGAAACTCCTGAACCTTGAGATCCCGACCTGAGCTGAATTAGGACCCTTAGCCAGTGAGCGGCCGGGCGCCCCCCCCGGCGGAGGAACTCCTGCAGAATAGTACCATCCTGAGCACCAGCTGGTGCTACGCAGCCCGTGCTTGCTGCTGCTGCTCTGTCCTCCTCACCCTGTGTGAGGTGTGGGGTGGCTCCAGGGTCGCAGTCACATGCTTTGGCTTATGTCTTCGTCCTCCTCCCCCTCCCTCCCTTCTGTCTCCCTCTCCACACCTCCTGCATGAACACTGCCTCTTACATTTCAGGGCCTTTTGGCTTGGATTCTCCTGGGCTTTTCCTTTCCTCCTGGGTTGTCTTTGTGGTCACATCACTGATATCTCATTATTTGAATATGGATATCAGAAGTTCTGTTACACTTTTTGCTTTGATCTTCATTTTTTTTTAAAGATTTTTATTTATTTCTAGGAGAGAGAGAGAAAGATAGCGTGAGCAGGGGAGGGTCAGAGAGAGAGGGAGTCACAGACTGAAACAGGCTCCAGGCTCCGAGCTGGCAGTCAGCACAGAGTCCGACGTGGGGATCGAACCCACTAACCGCGAGACCATGACCTAAGCGAAAGTCGGTCGCTTAACCGACTAAGCCACCCAGGCGCCCCTGATCTTCATTTAAAATACGTATTTTTCTCCTTTTAGCTTTTCCTAAAGGCTCCGGTGAACACTGCAGAACTATCTGACCTCTTAATTCAACAAAACCATATCGGGAGTGTGATTAAGGTACGCCGGGCAGTTATGTTTGTTCTTATTAAATTAGTTCTTTGTCCTGTTAAGATCCTCCTGATGTTTAGCCAGCAGACCAAGAGCTCAAACTGGAAAGAGGTGTTCCTGGAGGAAGAGAGACTGGTTAGGAAGCCATTCTAGTAATTTCCAAGATGATTGAATGCAGGAATCCCAAGAGTGGCAATGGACAGTGAGAGAAGGCAGTGATTTAGAGGATATTTGGGAGATGAGGTATGAAGGGGCTCAGTGAGTGATGGGACAGGAGTCAAGGGTGGCTCCCAAGTATCCGGCTCGAGTGACCAAGGTTGCAGACGTGGGGGAAGAGGAGGCGAGGAGAGAACGTGAGTTCGGGAGTGCATGTGTCATGTGGGGTTTGCCTGCGATGCATGCGCAGGTGGTGTGAGCAGTGGCTGGAGACTTGGGCATTCTTAGCAGACCAACGACGGGTCCCCAGGAGGGCGTGGACAGGCCCTGCTGATCCCACCACGACTCAGAAGACTAACTGGCAGAGCCTGCCTAGGCGCTTCTTGTGGGGGTTGGGTGGGGGTGGCCTGGGAGGGGACACTGGGGGAAGCACAGCAGGAGGGTGAATCCTGCCAGTGGACCTGACCGTAGTGTCCGCAGCTTAGTGTCTCAGAATAGCATTGAGGACAGCACCTAGCTCTCCTGGGTCGCGTTAGCCCCAGAGGCTCAGTGGGGCTGGAGGACTCACTCTCGGGACCACTGTTAGTGCCGGCTGTCCACCGGGAGCCCAGCTGGGACCTCAGGTCAGGGGCCTCCATTCTCTCCGGTGCACCTTCCCCCCGCCCCGCACAGTGGCTGGGTTCCAGGAGCAGGCAACCCTACAGAACGGTCAGAGGGGCCTCATGTTGTAGGACACAGCGGCGTTTCCACTGTTTTCTTGATCGGCAGACACGAAGGTCTGCACAGGTTCAGGGGGAGGTGTGTGGGCCCCACCCCTCGGGGGAGGAGTGTCTAGGTTGTTCGTCAGAAGAGAATACTAGAATGGTGACGGGGTGGCCATTGGGGTGGCCATCAGTGGAAGGCAGATTCACTACAGTGACCTTAGCCCACCTCCGTTTCCATCTCTGGAGGCGAGGATGGTGCCTCCTCCATCCGGCGGTGAGAGGGCATCAGCTGCTGAGCAAGCGGTGCTTAGAGCAGTGGCGCGTGGCACGTGCTGTGGCAGCAGCCGTCACGGTGACCGGCCCTTCCCGTTCCCAGCACTTAGCGTCCGGGTGATGGTGTGAAAGCAGCCACCCCAGTCTCCCGTACCCCCACCCACCGCGCCTTTAGCCGTCTCCCTTTGTTCTCGAAGCCAGGGATCGGGAAAAAGTTTGCATTCCCAGCGTCTCCCTGGCCCTCTCCCAGACACCCGGACCTGGCCTTCACCGCCACAGCTCCACTGGCGTCCTGGGGCGGCGCCCGCGTCTCCGTTGCTGACCCTCATGGTGCAGATATAAAAGTGACAGGAACGTGACAGAAACAGCGCCTCCTGTGGCGTCCTTTTGTTAGGGCGGCGGGACAGGCAGAGCTCGTAACCAGGCGTCACCAGGCGCATCGTCGGGGTCTGCCCGAGCCCTGGTGACACCGCCTCTGCGTTTGGTCCCCCACCTTGCTTGTGCCCGCACGGGGCCTTTGGGACTGAGTGCTGTAGGCCCGTAGAGGCTAACGGTCCCCTGGCCACAGCGCGGGACAGCCTCCGATCCTCCATCGAGGGCGCACAGGAGGCCCCCCTGAGGGGACTGCCCTGTGGCCTCCCCTCCGTGCCCTGAGCGCTGGAAGAGCCGTAGGGCAAGGCCCCGGCTTCGTGGAGAATAGCTTCCTAGCAGGTCATTTGTCCCCGAGTCCCCCGAGGGGGAGTGACCCAGAACAAGAGTGTCAGTGGCTTGGAGCGGCTTGCTTCAGTTTGTGGTCTCAGGTGCCGCCTCGGTCTTGAGGACACGTTGCCGACCCTTTACCTTCTCACCCGGTCCTAAGCCCTTCCAACAAGAAGTCGCTTTTATCCCTGACGCAGCTTGGTGTCAGTGCGGGGCTCGGCCTCTCTCGGATGAGGTCACACGAAGCTCCACTGTTACAGTGTAGCCTCTGGCTCCTGCGGAGACGCTTGAGGTTCTCAGGGACAGAGGCTTGTGCGTGAGGAGAGCGACTGCCCAGAACTTTCACTGGAGCCTCTGGGACGGGGGTGGGGGGTGTCTCTCGTTCAGAGAAGCCAGTCCGTCTGTCGGGCTGTGGAGGGAAGAGGGTGGTGGTGGGGGAGGGCCATGAACCGCACTTGCGGGCTGTGTAGAGTGGCCGCCGGTTCGGGGGTGTGGGGTGAGGTGGAGTGGCTCAGGACCTGGGGACTAAGGAGGCTCCAAGGGTGAGGGGGCCGTGGGGGGCTGTGAACGGGTCAGGCAGACGGCACTGGTGCTGGCAGGGGGCGTGTGATCCTGGAGGAGACCGAATGCGATTGGGACTCCAGCCCCATGAGAGGCAGCCCCCGTGTGACGTCACCGTGTTGGTTGATGGCCTGTCATGGAGGAACGTTGAGCGCACTCCGGGGAATGACCATTTGGGGGACTTGTTTTAAGTCATTTCTGTGCTCACTCTGGGGCTTGAACTCACGACCCCAAGAGCAAGAGTTGCACCCTCTGCAACTGTGCCAGCCAGGGGCCCCAGTTTTGGGGATTTCTTAGGCTCTGACACTGAGGGTTCCTTTCTTCCTCCGTGGTACTGCCTCTCTTTGCCACGGTGGCGGGGAGGCCTGGGAGGTGCAGGAGAAAGGTCTCATGCGGCTCTCAAGGGACCACGGCTGGTGTCCCTATTCTCTTCTTTCCTTCCTTCTCTCCTTCAGGATCAGACGTGCCCAGTCCTGTCACTGGGCTGTGAGTGTCCCAGTTACCTCCTCGGTCTCCGTTAGGGACTCTGCGTGATTACCTGAAACGTCTCCCACCTTGGCGCACAGTGTTGTTTCCTAGGCCTTCGAGGCCTTACTTGAGCCACTGCAGCCTGCCTTGTTCCCGCAGGAAGAAACCGTGGGTCGTTTACAGCCCGGGGCCACAGGCGCGTGGGCTTTACAGCCTGGCAGGTGGCCCCTCTGCCAGATCTCCCCCATCAGCGGCAGCCCTGCTCAGCGTGGCCGGGCCCGGCTCAGTCACTGGTCACCCCCGTCAGCGGCAGCCCTGCTCAGTGTGGCGGGGCCCCGCTCAGTCACTGGTCACCCCCGTCGGCGGCAGCCCTGCTCAGTGTGGCCGGGCCCCGCTCAGTCACTGGTCACCCCCGTCGGCGGCAGCCCTGCTCAGTGTGGCCGGGCCCCGCTCAGTCACTGGTCACCCCCGTCGGCGGCAGCCCTGCTCAGTGTGGCCGGGCCCCGCTCAGTCACTGGTCTGGTCTGACGTCCTGTCCCCACTGAGGCAGGTCCCGCTGTTCTCCGTTCGCCACTGGGTGGTCGAGCTTTGTAAGCCCCTTCCCACAGAACAGTTTCAAGGACATACGGGCAGCTGTGGGTCCCTGCTGTCCTTTCGGGGTTGAGCAGCAGCCTCCTTCCATTTCGTTCAGCACATGGTCCCCAGGGACTTGGTTTGTGCCGGACCCCAGGCTCGGTACTGGGGACACGGTGAGAGTTCGCAGCCTGAACGGGCAAATAAGCAGCGTGAGGCACGCTGTGGAGGATGCCCTGAGGGCCCCGGCGAAGGCCTGTCCTAGAGCCTGGAGGAGCAGGGTAGAGCCCGGCATTTCCTTCTTCCTTTTCTGTTCTTAATTCATTTCCCTTCAGGCCCTTTCTCTCCTGCGCATGCTGTGGGAGTAAGTGGCCCTCGGGCCTGCCTCCACCGTGCTCTGGTGTGTGGCTGCGGGTGAGCCTGTGTCCCGGACCCGAGAGGAAAAAGCAGGCGAGGAGCAGGACCTCGCTCAGAGGACAGAGTTGCTTATTTCAATATGTTTCATCTGTTTTGTTTTTTCTTAATGTTTATTTGGGGGTGGGGTTGGGGAGGGACAGAGAGAGAGTGGGAGAGGGGGAATCCCACGCCGGCTCCGTGCTGTCAGCAAAGCCCGACACGGGACTTGATCTCACGAACTGTGAGATCATGTCCTGAGCTGAAGAGTCAGACGCTTAACCGGCTGAGCCACGAGGCGCCCCTGCTTCGGAGTTGTAATGCGTAGGGCACCTAGTGGAAAGACACCTGAGCAGGGCAGGCTCCGCCACGGTGGAGGGGGCAAGGCAGTAGGGGCGCGGCCGCGGCACTCGGCATGCATGCGGCCCTGCGGCGATGACAGCCGAGGAGAGTCTGTGAGAACCGGAAGGGGACTTGGTGTTCTGCCTCTTCCCAGGCAGACGTAACCACTCTCATCCCTTTTTCTTTTCAAATAGCAAACGGACGTTTCAGAAGACAGTGGTGACGATGTGGACGAAGATGAGATTTTTGGATTCATAAGTCTTTTAAATTTAACTGAAAGAAAGGTTAGTTTCACTGGGTGGCCCCTGGGCCAATTCCTTAGACCAATACTACTTTGATTTAATGCACAGTGACAATGATATCAGATAATAACATAATGACACAGGGTATGTGCTCCTGTGAAATCGTACTGTTATTTTTTTTTAACATGAAAGTGTTTGTGTTGTAAGTAATCTGTGTTGCCCAAGTCCTTCACTGCCTGTGGCGTGGACAAACCACCAGGACTGGTGGCCTAGTGTCCTATCCACGGGAGCCAATGGCTCTTCCTCTGATTGTGAGGCTTCGTGGCTCCCTGCAGCGGGGGAGGGAGAGGCCCTTCCTGATGTTTGCTGTGTTTCCATCCAGCTCTTTATTGACCAGAACTGCAGTTCTGATCAAAAGGGAAAACCGTCTGTTTACGCTCCTCAGAATCAGGTGCAGGTTACACTTCATCTTCGGGTTTTAGATGAACTTGTCTTTGCGAGATGGCCTGGACTTGCCATTCCAGTGTGTGCATGTTCGTGTGACCCTCTCTCCCCACTGCTCACGGCTGGTGAATAACCCGGGGCAGTTACGCTGAAGCAGCGGGCACAGAGGACGTGGTGGGAAACTGCCTTTGCTGCACGACAGAAGTCCCAGCTCGCTGGCACATCTCCTCCGAGGGGCGGCCTGTGACGGAAAGCAAGCCTTGTCATTGCTTTGCAGGGTACGCCGTGTGTGGAGCAAATTAAAGAGCTGGTCCTGAGCTCCTGTGAGAAGACCTGTGGAAAGGGCTCGGCTGAACAGCTGGACGCGCTCTTCAACGACCCCTCCAAGCCTGTGGGCTTCCTGCTCAGTGAGAGGTTCATTAACGTCCCTCCTCAGATCGCGCTGCCCATGCACCAGCAGCTCCAGTAAGAGACAGGGCCGCGTGCCTCGCGCAGTCCTTCCCCAGTGGGTTGGGCTGAGCGATGTCACCAGTAGGGGGGGTGGCTGGAGCGGCGGGGGGGGGGGGGGGGGGGGGGGGGGGGGGGGGGGGGGGGGGGGGGACGGAGGCAGCGGCCTGCGAGTCCTCCGTTACTTGTGACCTGAGTCTGAAGGGTCTTAAAAGGTCGAGGGGGTATAGAAACTGGAGTTATGTAGACTTGTTACCCCTGTTGGACTAGGGTCCTCTCTTCCCAGATTTCTATAAGGGGTGACGTGCCCACCGAACAGCAGTCAGGAAAGTTGGGTGCGACTCCTAGATTCCACAGGGATGTTTGGTAACTAAGGCCATGGCCCTGACACTGTGTGTGGCTTCTCGGGGTTTGCTGCTCTTGTATTTTATAATGCAGGGGGATTAGGTTTATGCCATTTTACTGTAAGAAGAGCTAAGGATCGGGATTACCTGGACTTTGAGGGAGAGCAGGACGGACATACGGACCGGGCCCCGTGCCGCGCAGACGCTCCTCCTCCGGGGCCCTGGCATCGTGCGCTCCTGGCAGTGTTCGGTGGGAAGGGAAGTACAGGCCATGGTGGCCCCCAGCTACCATTCAGCAGACTTCTGCCACGTGTTCTTTGTTCTGCTTTGTCTTTCTTCTGATCAGCTGGATCAGAGCTCGTTTATTTGCTTTCACAGGAGGGTGGTCTCTCCCCATCCTCTGGGAAAGAAAGCCGAAGTCTTTACATGTTTGTGTAGCCAGATGCGTGGGGACACTGTATGGTTTTCAGAAGGAAGAAGGATGTAGGCAACGTTGCCGCTCCCCTGACTACTCTAGAATGTGGGTGCCTGTGTCCTGTCGTGCCTTCAGCAGTATGTCAGGAATAAGTTCCAGACTCTGGTGCTGGAGACGAGGAGTCACGTGCTCCAATAGCTCTGCCTATGGCCCTGTGCCTTTGTGTCTTCCTGTTAAACATTTGTTTTTAAAAAATCCAGATTCTTAGGTGTTGATGTCCAGTGGATTTGAGACTCCTGTTGTTTACTGTGTATCCACAACTCAGCATAATCTGACTCATCCGACTACTTACTGTAAAACACTGCTCAATTAATCGAAAGTGCATTGGGCTACAGAAATACTACTCGGACTTTAGAAGCATCTGGACCTCATGTCGGTCCATTAGGCCTGTGTCGGACATGACAGGGCCCACCAAGGTGGCCTCCCTGGTTTTCCCTGCGCTCTGGTTCGTGGATTTCACCCAACTCAGCAGGCAAACCTCTGTTACGCCTTTTAGGAAAGAGCTGGCGGAGGCACACAGGACTAACAAGCCATGCGGACAGTGTTCCTTCTACCTTCTGATTAGCAAGACGTTCGTGGAAGCCGGAAGAAACAATCCCAAGAGGAAATGGAGCCACCAGGAAAAAGATGAGTTAATGTTTGCAAATGCAGAGGAAGAATTTTTTTATGAGGTAATTTTTCTATGTTTTCATCTATTTGCATAGATGTCAGTAAGGATTATCTTCTCGACAATGAGCAGCATGTACTGCTCTCCATTCACGTTAGAGCCCTTGGAGTACGACGCCTCTTCCCCGCTGCCAGCGGCTGGTAGCGACACGGTGCCCACACCTAGTAGGTTCTCACCAGGTTAGCGGCCGCTCCTCTGCCCCGTCGGCGATGAGCGTGGGGAGCAGAAAAGCCACGAACACTGAATGGTGGTCTGGCACTTGCAATATGCTGACTAGGAGGTGCTTCATTCTAGAACCACTCCACGAGGTAGACATTAGTTCTGGCTTACAGGTGGGGACCTGGAATCCGAGGGAGACTGCAGCCGTTACCTGAGCCGCGCAGCGGGAGATGTGGAAGCCAGCGCCGGCCCCGCCCCCCCGGAGGGCTGCCACACTCCCCTGCGCCCAGTCCCGGGTGTCCTGCTTGTGGGCTTTCTAGCGTGTTCTTTCCGTAAAGGTAGTGTGTGCCACCGTGGGCCACCAGACACCCTGACCTCAGCTCAGAGATGTTAAATCTGAGGGTAGCTTACCTTCCTGGATTAGAGGGTATCTGTCACTACTTTTAAAAAGACTCCTGCTAAATACTGAAGCACTACTAACATTATTAAAGCGGATTCAGCATTGCCCTGGTTTTTCAGGAATAAATACCTAACGTTTTTAGGCTTAAGCATCACCTTCGGTAGAGTAGGGACTCAGGGAAGCGTGTGTGGGTGTTTGAAGATGGCCTGGTTGTACAGACGTCCCTGTCACATGACAGCTTTATGCCAAAGGAGCAGCCAGGACATTGAGGAGAGACCAGTGTGTGAAGACCACGCTCACTGTCAGATGTCAGGGAGTCTTGATTTCACTTGTCTGTTGCAAGACTGTTTTGAGAATCAACTGAGATCATGAATATGAACAGAATTATAAATACTGACAAGTGGTAGGAGCAGCGACCTCACTTCGCTGCCGTCCCCTCGGGGCAGTGGGATGCTCCTCTCCTTGCTCCTGGGGTTAGAAACCTGCGAGGTGTTTGGGAACTTCTGTCTGACCGCCCCACCCCGTCTGTGCAGTTCTGTTCTGTGCTCTGCTTCCGGTCGCGGTCATCCCTAAAGATGCACCAGACGCTGTTCCTGGCTGCCACGGGGACGGGTTTTGCCTTTAGGTTGGCTGCAGGTTTAACTTACAACTAATGTGTTTGTTTTAGAAGGCGATCGTGAAGTTCAGCTTCTCAGTGCAGGAAGAGAGCGACACGTGTCTGGGAGGCAGGTGGTCCTTTGACGACGTCCCCATGAAGCCCCTGCGCACCGTGATGTTGATTCCAGGTGACCAGATGGATGAAATCATGGGTGAACTGAAAAAGCATCTCTCTCTCTGACCCGTTATTTCCCATGGACCGCGGGGGGCTACTTTTCGTTTTTGTAAAATTACCAGAAGACAGCTCACATTTAGTGAAAACTCATGACTTTATTCAGATTAAGGTCCTCTACAAAAAAGTAGGGTTCTGGCACCTGTGTCTGTGACACATTTACAAAATAGTTTTTAAAAAAAAAAAAAATTTGGTCAAATTGATGAATGGGTGATGAAAAGCTTTTCCAATAAGAAGGAAAACGTGGAGTAGTAATTTAAGGAACTCAATAAAAACTTCCATTTTTTATTTTTAAATAATGCACAAAGTGTAACTCTTTTCAAGACTGTCGTGTGGGGGTATGATGTCCGTATTCAAGTTGAAGGTCTGTGTCTCACTCCAGTGGACCCGCTGCGAGGCCGAGCCGGGTGCTTCCTGCACAGCATGCTTTCAGCAGAAGGTCCCCACGAGTCACTGCACGGCACATCTCTGCTCCGCGGTTTCCGGGCACTTCTCACACACGTTCTGTTCCTTTTTCATGGCTGACACGGGTGATAGGTGGTCCATCACTTGATGCAGAATGTCCTTACTCTCGCTAGGAGGCAGGTTACTGAAGTAGTATTGCGGTGCCAGTTGCATAAATCTGTTGAAAACGAAAAAATTAGACTTTTTTGGTGAGAAATACCAGATGTTACACGTGGGTACTTGCCGCCCCTGGAGAGTCTACCTGTGAGCTACTGTTTAAGGCCTCAGTGTCCGCCTGCCTTTGTAGAGTAAATCCTTCCTGTGGTATTCAGGGAGCCAGTCGAGCTGCACTTCTCGGGTATCTTCTCTAGGCCACACGGTGGCAGATGCCAACCGCTAACCCCCAGGGGACACCCGGAGCTCCCCTAAGGCCCATGGTGACATGTCAGATCAGGTGTTTGGCAGAGCTCTGGGGGAGTGAGAGAGGGACTGTCTTTGCCTCTTTCTCTTACTGACTAATGCCGCTCCACCTCCGGCTGCTAGTTACTGTCGGCTCCTGCCTTGAATGTCACTCTGTCCAGGTACAAGTGCTCGTTCAGGTAGACCCAGCGCCTGCGGAAGCACCCAGGGAGGATACTCTATAATCGTTTCGTACTGCACTTAGGCTACGTTCCAGACTCCTGTGTGGCCCAGAGGCCCTGCACCTCTGGGACCTGCCCGTCTTCCACGTCCCCTTCACCCCTCCCTCCCCACTAGCCCCCGTCTTGGTGGCATGTCTGTTCCGGGAGGGGGCTAAGCGGTTCCTCCTCACGGTCTGCGCCTGGAGACACCACGGCTCTGCGGCGTTTTGTTTAGTTCTATGCTCTATCCTTTTTTGGTTTTGTTTTTTTTGGGGTTGTTATTTTAGCTTCTTTTAAAGTAATCTCTATGCCTGATGTGGGACTCAAACTCATGACCCAAGGTCAAGAGTTGCACGCCCCACCGCGGAGCCAGCCAGGCGCCCGTCTGCCCTGTACGCTTGATGCTGTGTTCTCAAAGGCAAGAGCATTCAGAGACCTGCTCTTGTAAGTACTCGCCATGCAAGTTTAGATTGGCACCAGCATCAACTTCTACCTGAAAATGTAATAAAAACCAAGTTCGTCACGTACTCAAGAGGGGTTCAAAAGAAGCCCTCTTTTTTGTCCGTTAAACTTACAGTTCAGGAGAGATTTCTGAGGTAATCCTGATGTAGTTGTTCTCAGCGATGCTGAACTTGTGGAAGAGAACCCACTCGGGCGTCCTCTTGGAGAGGGAGTAGGCGGACAGCGGGTGCAGCTGGGCGACCTGCTTGTGTGTCAGCATCAGGTAGTTCCCCGAGCCGTCCACATCCCGAGCCGTCTACACCGCAGGGTTTCGAGAGCAAACATTTCGTGTTAATATGGAAAGCGACAGAAAAAAAGCGTTTTGTTTTAAAGATTCCTAACTACTCGGACACCTGGGTGACTCGCTCGGCTGAGCCATCCTACTCTTGGTTTTAGCTCAGCTCATCATCTCACAGTTTGGGAGTTCGAGCCCTGCACTGGGCTCTGCACTGACACCATGGAGCCTGCTTGGGATTCTCTTTCTTTCTCTCCTCTTCCACCCTCCTCCTCCACCCGTCTCGCCCTCAAAATAAACTTCGGAATTTTTTTAAATTAAAAAATTTTTAAGTCTTTCATATAAAATAGTAAGAATTACAAATCTGCCACCCAGGTTTCCTGTTTTCAGATCTAGAAAATAAAACGTGTTTTGCCCAAAACTTTGAGACCCTGATGATGATATTCACTGACGGCAGCACGTGCAGGCCAGGCGGGGAGAGCAGCACCACTGAGGATGTTAACGTTTGGGTCATGAAGTAAAGGTGGCGCGCAGTGTGGTACCTGCCATGTCACGGGCAACGTGCTCAGATGCCAGGTGTTTTAGCTCATCTAATCCAGTAACACGGATGTGGGGCCTTTTCCACGCAGATGAGGAAATCCACGTTGAAGTGCCATGTTTTTCTTTATGAAGACTAGAATTTGAGTAGAAACAGCCCAATATTTCTCTTACTACCATGTGAAGAACATGCTTACATCCGTGCTCTAATTTAGGGCAACCACGTTCCACAGCCTTCATTTTGGAAAAGAAACAAATGGGACATCATCTTTATTTCTTTGGTGGGTATTAGTGTCACCCGTTAAATATGAATTTGCATATTTATATACGCAAATATATAAATTTGCAGTGAGATGAGGGACTGTATCTGATGTTCGGCCAAAGACTGTTTTACTAACTTCCGTCTGTAATGAAGAGAGGCCTTCTGTCCTTTTGGACCAAGTGAATGCACTCTGTCTCAGCCCTTCAGTTCCCTTGAGGGGATGTGTATTTAAATACCAAATCTTTAATAGCCTAGAAGCTTTTCGGTTTTGTTGTACTTTTTAAAATGAAAGTGTATTTGAGAGAAAGCCTGCACGCATGTGTGTGGGGGAGGGGCAAAGAGAGGGAGAGAGAATCCCAAGCAGGCTTGGTGCTGTCAGTGCAGAGCCCAGCCTTGCACCCACGATCAGACCTCTGTCAAAATCGAGAGTAGTGTGCTTAACCGCCAGAGCCACCCAGGCACCCCGGTTTTCAGTTTGAAAGTTAACGTCAATAAGAGAATCGTCCTAAGTGACAGATTCCTAACAGACTGTCCTGAAAACGCTAGGCTTTGGAAAGACCACCCCGGACGGCCTTCCCCGTTCTTGCCTGCATGAAGTAGCCGGACAGAAGAGCTTTCTTTATGTTCAGGGCGTTCTCCTTCGAGCCGAAGGCAGGTTCTGCACAGGGAAGCTCGATTCGCTTGACGATTTCTAAGAGTTCAGCTCGGATAACATCCGCCGCCCTGAGTGCGCAGCAGTTGAGGAAGTAATCGTGACACCACTTCTCAACACCGTCTGGGGGGGAAGGAGGAGTAACAGAAATGACGTCACCAGCTGTACGAGCCCCGGCCAGGAAGAAGGCGTGATCTCCGTCCTCCCCTAGCGAGCTGGTCACATAAGTGACTGGGAGGGGAGCTGCGGGGGCTCGGGGACCCCGGCGAACTCAGAACAGCGTGTTCCCAGCGCTGTGAGGGTAGCACCCTTCACCTGCAACTCTGGTGGGGGCGCGGGAAGCCATCCCCGATCGACACTCTCGTGTGTGCAGCAAGGACGTAAGAGGCCACAACATTTAACCAACTAGGAGGGAGGCGGAGAGCACACGTCCCCTGAGCCATGGCACTGTCTCTGTGTTTATAAGGCTGGGGCCGCTACCAGGCTGAGCTGGGATCAAGCTCACCTGCCTACCCTGGCTGCAAATGTTCTAGTAAATTCAGTCACCCGTTCAGTGTGAAGCTGTTCGCTCTTGCCGCCTGTACTTCCCTGGGTGGATGTGGCGGCATGGCTTGCCCTGGCAGTGCCCCTGGCCTCGGCACAGCGGGCAGAAGGCCCCGTCGTGCGCTCAGGCCCGCTCAGGTACAAGAGCACGTACATGCGCAAACCATGGTCACCCAGCCCCCTTGCTCTCAAAAGATGCCACCAAACTTCCCATGTCTCCTGGCGCCACTGACAACTTTCATGCTTCGTGGATGCTTCATGGAAAACGAAGGTCCCCTTGCAGGAAGGGAACATGGTGGCTGCCTGTGGAGGCCCCGTCCCGTCGGCCCCTAGGGATTGCCTTCCAGTCGTTATCAGCGCTGAGCATGGTCTTCCTGCTGGGCCTCTCTCGGGAAAGGATGGGAAATCCTTTCACATCAGGACGTTGGCCTCAGCTTTCTCATGAGCCCTTCTACTCTGCAGGACTCCCCTCCTCCCTTCCCCCCCGCCCCCCTCCCCCCCACAGCACACCCGCCTGCTCTTCCGTTATCTGGAGCCAGGGGGCGGGGGTCTGTTGGTTTGGCTCTGTCCTCCGTGTCTGCCTTCTGTCTCCATCTGGTGAATGTGCATGTGACTTAGGGAACACACAAAGCGCAGCTCTGACCCCAGGGCACTGAGAGGTGGCAGTGCCTTTCTTTCCTTCCAGGACCCGGGAGGACAGAGCTATGCTGTGCGGGTCTCTGTCCCCATGTCGTCGCGCCCAGGCTTGCTCGCTGAAGGCTGGCTGGGCCGAGCACTGGACTTGCACAGGCACAGCCAGCCAGTGCGTTTAGGGCCCTGGGTGCCACTCCCCTAGGTGACCAGCAGGGCCGCAGACAGGTGACTTAGACCAGTGCGCCTTTATCTGGGGAGGGAGGGGTGGACACGAGTGAGTTTCTCAGAATCGCGGGCATTCACTTACGTTCACTGGTGGAGTTCAGAGCCGTGTCCTGGTACGCCTTGTAAACGTTGATGAGGGTAAAGTGATCTCCTTCAGGATGTAAGAAGGTCTTCCAGCAAGTCAAGGCAGCCTCCTCGGCTCCACGTGGCGGACTGGAGAAGCAACTGGGAGCTTCAAGATGCAGGAGGTCACAAGGTCAGCAATGGGGAAGCCGCTTCACCTTAGCACGGCGCAAATGGAGGGCTCGCCACTGCGTAGACTGCTCCTGTCTGATTCTCTGAATAAAGACTATTCTTGCTTGCTTACAAATCAGAGAGGCGTGGGGGGGAGTGGTCGTGAATATTTCTCTCCCTTATGTTTGCTTCTCTCAGGCCTGCGTAGCAGTTAACAGCCCGCTGGTGTTACCGTCAGAGTTGGCTGGCGGAGGGGGGGGACCTGGACCCCTCAAGGCCAGTGGCTAGAACAGGAGGGGAGCTTAGAGTTCTAATGCAGCACAGCCTTCGGCCTCTTCTGCCAGTAAGAGAATAAACTAAAACATCATAAACCAAGAATGAGGCGATAGGCAATAAATAAACACCTAATTCTTTGGGGAAGAACACCTCTAGTGACACATTTTTCCTTCAATGATTGGTCTGCTTAAGAAATTCACTGGCTTTTGATGGATTTTTTCATATTAAGATAATTATAACTTTCTACCTTCTTAAAGCCAGTAAAATACTTCATTATCACTTCAAAGGGTGAATGGGTTACCGCCTCTGTTAGGTACTTCTTAAAACCTTTCAAACGGACCTCATTTCACTCTATGGCCGGTCAGCCTCACACACGGAAGAACAGCCCTTCAGGGAGTACCTGTCACCATGGCAGCGATCGTCAGCATCTCCTCCACGCAGTCAAATTCACAGGACGCTAAGATAGACTTTGAGAGCTGGGGGTCAAGAGGAAACTCCGACATGATGATCCCAAACTCAGAGAGGTTCCCGTCATTGTCCAGGGCCGCCAGATAATCCAAGTCTTCCAGCGCCTGCATCAGACTCTCCGGTGCTGGCGAGGACAAAACCGTCATCAGCCGCCTACACCAAGAGGGAGGAGCAAGCACTGGACCTCCCTTCCCACGTGCAACAGCCAAACAGTGGGCAAAATACGTGAAACGACAAAACTTCAGGCCGTGAGGGACAGTGAATCCCGAGAGGGGGCCCCTAATGAAGTGAGCCTCACGGCTGCCCAGCTTACGGCCTGGAAAGAGTTTTCTGGCTGCAGAGCCTGACGGGGACCCAGGCGGGGCCTACCAGACTCCGAGTTATGAAGGTGGTTCTGAGGATTCAGGGACACCCAGGAGGCCAGAGCTCGCAGGCCGGGGAGCGCCCGACCGGGAGAGGCCCATAGAGACAGGACTCCAGCTCTATGGAAAGCCCCCTCGACGCGTCTGCTGAGCATGTGTAAGGAGCTACGTCAGGCCGCAACCAGAACCACGCAGAGGACTGGAGGGACGGTGCCTGGTGCTCCCACGGGAGCTAGGATACTGCCCCCGTCTACCCACCGGGCTGGGGACCCTCACAACTCAAGGGCCCGGGGAAGGAGATGCAGAAGGGACGAACCACCCCCCCAGACATGCCCGCTCCACCGAAAAGATGAAGACCAGGATCTGGAAGCATCCTACTGCAGCCCAGGATAAAGTTCAAGAATATTTATAGGAAAACAAAATATCCAACACCCAGCACGGCAAAATGTACAATGTCTAGCATCCAATAAAAATTACGAGGCATGAAAAACAGGAAAATACAGTCCCATGATAAAGAGGAAAAGTTAACCAAATGAAACTGCTCCGGGACTCGGATGGCGGAAACCGTGACAAGGATGTTGCGTGCAAAGAAGGACAGAAGCCTGATTTTCTGTTTCCCCTTTAGGTTTATAGAACCCCAGTAACAGTGTGTTCATTATATATGCTTAATCTCCACCAAAAAACATAACCCATTTATTCAAAGCAACGTATTCTTGCTCTTGTAGGATAAAATTGTATTACTAAATACACGTGTTTTTCACCTGTCTAGAAGGTGAGAGAGCAAAAAGCTGCAGAAAGAAGCAAATCACACAGTATTAAGCTGCTTTCATGTTCTATCCCAGAAACCAGAGGATTTATGAGCTTTCCTTGTCTGAACTCCAGCACGTGCACGCTGAGCCGGAGATAAAGACCCTGGGGACCTAAGAAGCAATTTAACCTCCTGGCATCTGGGAGTTTCCTTATTTGCTGTTCAGACCCTGCCAAGCCACTTGTCAGGACATCAGGCAACTTGCATAACTCACAAGCCAGTCTGTCACCAACTCAGGAAGCGTCCCCTCCTTCCTAACTGGACACGACGAAAGCACCGGGAGATGACGCTACGGTGGGCTGGGAAACCGCTCGCCGGAGCTGCACGCGCTTCGTGAGGTCTCCAGTCCCTTCGCTGCAGAGCAGGACAGGTGACGGCCTGCTCGGCCTGCGCCATGTGGGCCGCGAGCAAAAGCACGCCCAGCGAACGTGCCCGGACGGGACCCAGGCTGGACGTCCTGGGGCACAGCTTTCATTCGCGGCTGGAAGAAAAGTTTAACCTCCCCGGTGGCTGTGAACGGTCTCACTGAGATGGACCCCGGAGCACGGCCGGGCTGCCCAGGAGGGTCGCATCCCTCGCTGGGCCCCGACCCCTCGGTCCCGCCTGCGTGCCGGCGCGGGGCCCTGGCGCATTCCTCATCTGTTCTTGGGGGCCCCCGGGCAGAGAGGAGACCTGGAGAAGACAGTCCTGGGAAGGAAGCGGATGGGCTGTGGAAGGAAAAAGTCTGAGAGTTCTGTCCTGCCAGAGAAGGTACGAGAGGCAGGAACGGAAGCAAGCATCGCAGGTGAAACGCAGCAGGTGTGAGGAGCACGCGCTTGATTACTGTAAAGTGTTTAGGAACCCGTTTCTATAAATCAGCAAAGCTGCTGCGCTGTAAGTTACAGGCCCTTTGGCAACTGTCCGTCAGCATCTGGCCTCACGGCCTGGCTCTGTCCCCATTTTTGTCGCAGAAACGACTTCCTAATTCTGTTCTCGGCCTCATGCAAGAAAAAAAAAGAGGCTGCTCCCGGGGCTCAATTCTATTAGAAGGAACAAGTTAACGAATGTAGGTTATACAGGCAAAGGAACTAATAACGAACTGGATAGAATTTGCTAATATTACATTCCACGCCTGAAGACCTCTCCCCAGTGTGGCTCCTAAAACGGTCTTAGCTAAGATCAGGCTGCGAAAAGGCTCTCTACGGCAGGGTCGCTCCAGTGTGCTCCGTGGGAAATAATGTGACAGGCGTCCGGGCAGACAGGAACCTGCAGGAGCAGAGCAGGGCAAGGAGCCTCTCCCGTTACGCGGCCCCCAACGCCAGGGCCGGCCCCTCTCCTCCCGCCGTACTCCTTAACCTGCTTTCTAACCGCTAAGGATATAGCATCAAAGTTCAGTCTGAGTCCCCAGAACTGGAAAGGATTTTCGAGATCGGGTGGCCTCCGCTGGTAAATGGAAGACACTCCCGGCCCGGCCCCTCCGAGCTCCCCTAGCTGTGCGCTCAGACCTGCCGCACGCCAGCTCTGCTCCTAACTGTGCCGTGGAAGGAGCCCCAGACCCGAGAGCCAGGGGCCCCTCCCCTCACTCCCACCCTGCGCAGGCCGAGGAGGGGACTAAGCCTTAGGGTGGGAAGGAGCTGAGGCTGCCTGGGGGGGAGGTTTGCTGGTTACCGTACTTCCCCATAAGGCTAACATTCAATCATTCACTCACTTCCCCTCAAGCCACTCATGACTGTCTTGGCGGCTGGCACTTGCAAGGCCCTGGGGGCAGGTGCACACGTGGACGTGGACGGGCTCAACCTTGGCCTTCTGGGGGGGGGTCCTCGGAGGGACAGCCACGTACAGACCAACAACCGGTTTCCAGTGTCCTGGGCGCGCAGCTTCGCCCAGCTGGCCTCTTCTAGGAGCTGCACCTCGGCTCCCCGAGAGGCATGTTTGCGGTGCCACGTGACCACCTCCTGCACTACCACCGGCCGCCAGGCCCGGCGGGCTTGTTCAGGGCGGGCCCCCTCTCAAACGGAACCCATGCTTCTGTGTTGGGGTTCGGACCCAGAGAAACAGGACCTTCCAGGGGCTGACTCAGGACGTCACGGGGCTTGAGGCGGAACACAGCCAAGGCTGTGCTCTGTGGACTGAAGAGAGAGCAGAGGAGAAGAGTCAAGAGATACGGACACGGTTCGCAGGAGCCATGGTGGGGGGGGGGGGCGGGGGGGAGCTGCAGACAGCGCAAAGCCTGCCCGGGGGTCTCTCTCTGTCTCCCTCGGCCTCTTCCTTGCTCGCATTCTCTGTTTCTCTCAAAGTAAAATAAATAAATGTTAAAAAAAAACAAAAAAACAAAAAAAAAACAAATGAAGTTTCTGGTCCCAACTGGTTTTGGGACTGAGACTTGGGCCTTGCGTGCACTGCGAAGTCCCCAGAAGGAAGAGACTGAGGGGTCAGAGGCGGCTTTGGGTTGAAGTGTAAACTCTAAACCAGGACTTTTAGGGAAGGAGTTTAAGAGTCTGAGTCCGAAAGGAGGGGAAGCAAAGGCTTCGGCTTCCCTGAATCTCACAGGACGTGCTCACAAAGCCTGGCGCGTGCCTAACTCCCACCCAACACTGTGCGCAGCACTTCTGCATAATCTCATTTGAACCTTTATTCTTCTAAGTTCATTTATTTTGAGAGAAAGAGAGAGAGAGAGTGTGCAAGAGCACAAAAATGGGGGCAGGAAGGAGAGAATCCCAAGTGGGCTCCGCACCACCAGTGCAGGCCCTGACGCGGGGCTCGAACCCACAAACTGCGAGATTATGACCTGAGCTGAGATCAAGAGTCAGACACAACCGACTGAGCCACACCAGCGCCCCCGCATTTGAACCTCTTAGTGACCCCCTGACACAAGAGGGCAGACACCGTATCACATGCTACAGGTGAGGAAAAGGTTAAGTGACTTGCCAAAGGCACGGGCCTAAGTGTCTCCTCAGCAAAACGCGGACCTGAGCCCGGGCCCCCGCCCCCCGCAGCGCGCCTCCTGGCTCCACGTCCAAGCGCTGCTGTGAGCCACCGCCATCCCGAGGCCCCTCGTGCTGCTTCCCAACGCCTGTCCGGTATCTGCTTCCCACCATGAAAACCGTATCGTGTAGGCCCTTGCACAGCTCGGGGCCCACACACCTGTCCCAGAGCGTGGGGAGGGGTCACACAGGCGGTGACAGCCACGGTGTTTACTACATGCCCGTGCGTTCCTTTAAATTGTTTTTAATGCATATTTTTGAGAGAGAGAGAGAGAGCATGAGCAGGGGAGGGGCAGGGAGACAGAAGCTGAAGCAGGTTCCAGGCTCTGAGCTGTCATCACAGAGCCCAATGTGCGGCTCGAACCCACAAACTGTGAGATCATGACCTGAGCTGAAGTCAGACGCTTAACCCCCTGAGCCACCCAGGCACCCCTGTGCCAGCTGCGTTTCTACGGGGCCCACGTATGATAACTAATATATCTTGACAGTTCTGCGAACCAATTACTCTGATTACACTCCATTCAGATGAAGAAACAGACCCTGAGAAGGCGTCATAATGCCAGATGTGACACAGCGAGCCAGGGGGCTGGGACCGGCGCCCTGGCAGTCTGCTCTGGAGCCCGAGCTTTCTGGTGCCCCTCTGCCCTGGCTTGCCAAGGACGACCCGTCCCCATGTCTCACCCCTGCTTAATCATGCACAGCGTCCCCTTTCCCCCTGGAGCACCCCGGCCTGGCTAACTGGTCACATGCTCACGGGACCTATGAAGAGCCTAAAGTGTAACGAGAGCTGAAAACACTTCCATTCTGTGCCTTCTAAAATCTCTCCCGTTCTCCTCTTCGCTTTCTGAAAAATTACTTTGTCGCTTCCAGAATCTTCCAAGATCCTCACTTGGCCACTCCTGGGTTGTTCTAGCGGATCTGTGCCTCTTTCTCACACTCCTGACCGGCCACCTGAACACCGCAAGAGACTACGTGGCCTTCACAGAGACCCACGAAACCCACGTGGGGCCTTCCTGCCAGGGCGGCGCCAGACCACCTGCTCAGCCCGGGCCTGTTTGGGGCGGCGGCCGGAGGCGTCCTGGGCGAGGCTGTGAGCGCCACTGCCCGAGCGGGGAGCCTCAGCCCGCCCTCCCTCTGCTCTCCTCCTGGCACAGACTGTCCTGTTTAAAGACCTTTCTGTAAACCCACGTTTCCGGTGACGTGCAGACCCGCGCATGCTTCTCCAGCGCCCGCACAAACTAGGCTTTCCTGTGGCGGCCAGGATTCCAGAAGATGCCGATTGCTGACGCCTGACTCCTCAGCGCAGCTCAACCCACCGCGGCCTCTTTAACCCCTCCCGCTGCCGACTTTGCCCTGCGTCCTCTCCTGCTTTCCTGAGCTCCCGTCCTGCACACGACGCCTGGCGACATGTCTGTGTGGGGGTTTGTCTCATAGACCACTCCAAAGCCAGGGGTCTGGCCACCTGCCCCTAGATACACAGGCGGGCTCTGGGGTAGTCCAGTGCACCGCAGCTAGTGTGTCTCCGGCTCTGTGCGGGCGCCGTCGCCGTCCCGGAGGAGGCGTGGTCCGTTGGTCCGAAGCCTCGGGATCCAGATCCGCAGTGAGGGCGTCGCCCACGATGCAGGCCAGGCTTCAGCACCAGGCAGGAAAAACAATGGATCCCTTTTTCTTTTTTAGAAGATTGATATCAGGAGAATTCAGTGAATAGCCTGTAGCCTAGTTATGCCAAGTTCATTTGCACACGGCTCATGGACCCTGAAAAGGGGAACACGTTTGCTGCACTTGTGGATTTCAGTTAGAAGTTGGATTAATGCAGCAGCTGCGAGCATCATCTTTATTTCCTTCTAAAACGATGAGTCAGACTTAGTCCACAGTCCTCTTTGTCCCGAGCGCAGCAGAACCCGGGTGTGTGCGTATTGTCAGGAGACAAAAAGAGGCCGCCACCCTGACCCTCTGTCCCCAGTTCTCAGCTCCGGGCAGCGCAGCGGGAGGCCGCGGGAGGTTTGCTGTTTGCTCTCGGGATCTCTGAGGTCACAAAGCCTGCTTTTCTTCTCCCTTCCTGGCAAGGCCGCCAGACACCTACTGTCGGGAACAGGAAGATACCCGGGGAACCGACACATGGTGATCCCGGGGCCGGAGCAATGAGCTGTGGAACTGGAAGGGAATTCTCAGACATGAGCCGTGTCTCTGCGAACTCGCTCTCTGCAAGGTCTCTGCAGGGCTTACTGCGGCCGACTGGCCTCGGACAAAAGCCCAGCCGTCTGAAGCTGAGGTCACCGATGAGAAACCTGAGAAATGGGGACACATGGCAGAGACCCTCACTTTCTTCCTCAGTGACCAGAGGAAAAGCCAGGAGAAGTGGGGGAGGTCGTTTGAAAGTCACGGGGTGGAGGCTACCGGGATATTGTCACCAGCTCCATGGGCCGCCAGGGTCCCCAGCCCTGGCCCGTCGGACCCCCATGATTCCCATGACCCCACGCTTCCAGTAAGACAGATGCACTGAGCCGAGGTTGCCACACACTCTACAACTTTACATCGTCCCACTGTCAGGCTACTGCTCTGCCCAGAGCTGCTCCTTCCTAGGTCAGCACACACGCGCGCATGTATTCATCACTTCGGCCGGGCACCAAGGAGCCGGGCCCCAGGAACACTGTCCGGCAGGGAAGCCGGGAGCCCAGCAACACCGGCTCACGTCCCCCGAGTCCTGCAGGAGGGTCGCCACCCAGGTGCGAGCCCATTTTCCCGGGCGCCCAAATGCCACAGTCTCGACGTGCACTCTGCTCTGGCTTCTCCTCTGTCCCGTCTGTGTCTCAGCTCCTCTGTGCCTCAGGGAGGCCAGAGTCTCCCGCCCAAGGACAGCCTCCCCGGGGGGGCTCCATGCCCCCCCTGGGTTTCAGTGGCTTCCTGCAGGCTCGGCCCCGCAGCCAGATGGGGAGGGGCACGGACACTGCAGGAGACCGTCCACAGTCCTTCCGGAAGGACAGAGAGCTCCCGGGAGGAAATGGCTGCAGAGGAAGGAGACGGATTCTAGAAGGGATAAGGAGATCCCCCACCCTGCTCCTCAGGTGAGAAAGTTCGCGCTGAACGTCCAAGACCCCAAGGGGTTCCCCGGAATAACTCATTTTCCAAAGTGTTTACTGGGAGAGTTTCGTTGTAAAACTCCGAACGGCCCCGGGGAAGGACGCGACCCCAGGTCAGAGCGAGGTGCACCTGTGGGCCCTCCGGGTGAGGAAAGCTCTGGGGACGCTCCTGGGTCGGTGGGTGCCGCGAGCCCCGCCCACGCCTCGCACCCTCCGCAGGGGTGCGCCGCTTAGGACGACAAGCCTTCTCCACTGTCGGCTTTCCTTTGCACCTTTTCATTTCCAAGTGTGGCATCTTTAGAGGACCTTCCTCTTACTTCACCTACTCCAATGCTACTAGCCGTTTTCGGAAATATTTGAGAATGAGTCGCTCTAAAATACCGGACTTCTCAAGTGCTCGTAAACCGTAACGGCGCTGCTGGGCAAGATGACCGAAAAACGCAGGAACTGGGAGAAAGCATCACAAAAAAGGAGAAATTCCACCATTTCCAAGGATGCTCTCTGCTCACGAGGCCTCTGGGCTGGGGACTCAACGGTGCGTTAGTCACTCAGCCTGTGAGGAACATTCTGAGAATCTCACCCACTGGCCTGGAGCCCGAAGAAACGAAGGAAGCCCTTTTCACCAAAGCACGAGTGGACGGCAGTGCCAGCGAAGGGCCATCAGCGCTGTCAGGACCTGAACGGGCCTCACGCACCCTCTCCGTTCGGCCGACGTCAAGCTGCGGGCCCGCGGACAAAGCGGCGGTTCCCAAGGTGAAGACGCCTGGACGCGGGCAGGGGGGCAGTGGGAGGGGCGGCCTCGGGCAGGGAGGGCGGGCGGCGGCGTGAGGCCAGGGGACAGGCACTGCTTCCCGGTCCAGTCGCGGTCCTGCCACGTGCAGACTGCGCTCAGGAAGTGCCAGGTGACCGTGACCTGCTCCCACCAGCTCTGGGGGTGACGTGGAGACGGCCAGCGCACGTTCCGCCGGAAAAGGGCCCTGACGGCGAGGACACACGTGCAGGCTCACGGGGCTCTGGTGTGCTCTGAGGAGACACCCAGGCAGAGTTCACCTCCATCTGTGTGTGTTGCCCGACTTCTGTGACTCAGTTTTCTCATCTGTGAGATGGATCGAATCACGGTGTTTACCCCAGAGGGTTGTTGCAGCTTTAAACGACCTACTGTGTTGGCACAGACCACACGCGTCCTTGCTGTTCTCCCCACGGGACAGGGAGGTGTTTAAATGGACAAGAATCAGGGGCACCTGGACGGCTCAGGCGGTTAAGTGTCTGACTCTTCGTTTTGGCTGAGGTCATGACCTTGCGGTGTGTAAGTTCGAGCCCCACATCGGGCTCTGTGCTGGCGGTGCAGAGCCTGCTTAGGATTCTCTCTCTCAAGATAAATAAACTTTAAAAAAAAATTTAAAAATAGACAAGAATAAGCAGAGCATTTGCTCTTCTAACCTTTCTTCGCCAGCTGATTGTTGACATTTAAACTAAATACTGAAGATCATCTCCCTCATGTTAGAATGACAGGCAGACTGGAAGAAATGTTTGCCCACCGGGTAGGATAAGCTAACGGAATGTACCAGAAGGTAGGAGGCTAAGAAGAGCCAGTCTTGACTTCCTTTCCTCCTTCTTCTTAATGTTTACTCATTTTATGGGGGGGGGGGGAGGGAGGGGGAGGGGCACAGAGAGGGAGACACGGAATCTGAAGCAGGTTCCAGGCTCTGGGCTGTCAGCACAGAGCCCAACACAGGGCTCGAATTCTCGAACCATGAGATCATGACCTGAGCCAAAGTCAGACGCTTAACCAGCTGTGAGCCCCCTAGGTGCCCCAGGCTTCCTTTCCTGAGCGGAGTGTGTGGTGTGACAGCCCCGCATGCCGCTGAGGCCGCCTGGCCCTTTGCTTCCTAGGCCTTTCCACAGCCCCGGCTGGTTTTTCCACTGAGCTGCCCAAGGTGAAGGGCGGCACCGGGGGTGTGGTGGGGGGTGGAAGAAAGCCAGCACCTCTCGAGTGACGGGGGGCTTTCTCAGGAGCCCCCCAGAGGAGAGACTCCCCTTGGAGAAAGCTGGTCGGCCCGTAACTACAAAGTCTTAGCCCTAAGCCTAAAAACCTCACCCCTGCACAGAGAAGCGGGTTAATTACAAAGGCAGGAACGTCCATCGGAGCCCCCCTCCCCCGCCCTCCCCCTCCCCCCGGGGTGACAGCAGTGAGGGAGGAAGGGCTGTGGACTTACAAACGTGCCACAGGCAACCCGTGAGGCCACAGGAACCTCCCCCACACCCACCCCATCAGCTGAAGGCCGCCTCACACTCCCACCCCTGCCCTGCCCAGCCGCCCAGGCTCCAGGGTCCAGATCATTCTCCAGTGTCAGGCCAAGTAGTTCCTAGAGGTTTATCAGAAAATGACTTCCCCTGAACGTTTCCCTCTAACGGGAACACTTCTTCAGTGTGATTAAATCCCCACCTGCACCACCAAATGCCACCTGCTCTCAGGCCTGGGCCCGGGCCGGGGGCAAGGGCACACGTCTCAGCCACGCCTCGGCCACGCGCCCGAGAACGCGGAGCCCAGAGCTACCTGGTCTGTTCATGAAGTCGCAGTGGCCTAAGCCCGCGATGTCTATCCTCTTCATGAAAAGCACCATGCCCGTCAGGTTGGCCTCCTGCATCTCGGCCGGCTTAAGCGGCCGCATGTCTTTGGAGGCTAATTCCTCCGAGTACAGACAGAAAAGTTTTCCTGGAAGACACCAAGTGAGATGGTTTTAATGTCTCCAGGTTGCCTTCATCGGGCAACTTCCACCGGTTTTCGCCGCCGGGGGGCTACCTGAAGAGGATGAACCGAGAATCTGCTTGCGAATCTCTGCCTGGCTTTGGCTGATGGGCTGCGTGACGAGGGAGTTCGCCCGGATCCTAGGGTTGTACACCTGCAAACGGAGAGACAGCCTCGTTAGTATCACATCGTGCAGGCTCGCTGCACCTCGGGGCTGCTGGTCTGCGGCGCTCTGCGGGATGCTCGGCCCCAGGCTCATTTTCTCTGGACACCATTTGTTACTGTTTCTCTTGCCTTGTGACAGAAACGGCTTGTGCCTCGATAAATGGATTCAGAGGCTGTCTGCTTCCAGTGCAAGTTCAATAAATATGGGACCGTGGCACCGTCTCCTGAAATACTGGTGGTGTCACTTCTCCCAGACGCTGTGAATGACGACAGATCATCATAAGCTGCCGGAGGAAAGGCTTATCATCTGCCAGGGCTGCGTCGTTTCAAGGTTCCATTCAAATTCTGATCCCTGCGGTCTGACCTTGACCACACAGGCCGAGCCTTCCCGGTCTACGAGCTCAGACAAAAACGGCAATGGCGCCAACAGGGGTTTTTGCTACGGGCAGTTCGAGGGGAAGGTGAGAGCCCTGGGTTCTCTGAACGGTGGACTAATTCAGGAAGAGCCCAAGCTGCTTCCCAGGGAACCTTCAGGATGGCTGGAACTGCTATGTCGCAGTAGGGCACTGAGGGGACCCTGTGTCCTAGACGGGTAAGAGCTACATCAACCCTGAGTGATGGTGAAATGGATCAAGACACTGGTAGGTTCTTTTCAAGCTCTTAAATTTTTTTGTAATGTTTACTTTTTTAAGAGAGACGGAGTGCAAGGAAGGGGGGAAGGGGTGGAGAGAGAGGGAGACACAGAATCCGAAGTAGTCTCAGGCTCTGAGCTGTCAGCACAGAGCTTGACATGGGGCTCGAACCCACAAACCTGATTCGAAGTTGAACGCTTCACCGACTGAGCTACCCAGGCGCCCCTCAAGTTCTTAAATGCTATGGTTCCTTAAGTTCCAGTGTCTTTGAGAGTTTGAGATCTCCTACTTCATTTTCCTCATTTTTTAATTTAAAGGTAGTTATAAAAAAATATTTTTAAAAATTCAGGATAGAATTTCATCCCATCAACAACAAGGCCAAAATCTGATAAAGTCAGTGTACTTGAAACGAATTTCTGGTAAATCACCCCAGGGAAGATGCTAATTGCTTCGAGAAAGGGGGTCCCCCAAACACTCAGAGGACATACACAGGAAATGACCGGGCTAGGAGTCTGATCATTTCGCTGGGACCTTAGCTAAAGGAAAAACACCATCACCTTTCTGCTTTAGTAGTTGTCTTTTCTCAAAACTTTTTCCTCAGGCACCTCAGACAACAGAGTGGGGGGGTACTACCAAGAAGCCAGCGAAAGGCAGTCGTGGGAAAACAAGGCTGGTCAGTGACCACTGGCCGCAATAATCTTCCTCTGTGCACAGGGGTAACTCGGACACTCCTCACATCACAGAGTTCACCCTCACTCCCTGCTCAACACAACGGCAGGAACCCAAGAAACTGATCAGGCGACTCACACAGGTGGTAACTTACCTTCCTCCTCTCCATGCCCACGTCAATTACAAATTTGACGGTGTTGCTCCAGATCAAAGACTCCCCGGAGCTAGCGGTTAGCACCACTCTCCTCTGATACACTTGGCATCTTTTTTCTGCTTCCTCATTTGGCTTGAACAATGCACATTTCTCTTCTGGATACAGAGGAACCACCACCAGCTCCCCAAGATCTGGGTTTAAGTTAGATCCTTCTTGACAGACAATTTCATAGGCTTTTTCAATATCCTAAAGTAAAAATTAACATCATCCGTGAGAATATGGTACAACTTCACCACTTTTAAAAAAGATATCTGCATTAACTAAAACTACAGGCAAAAGGCACATAATGTACGCAGGGAAAGAAAGACCCGTGTTGTTGTGTCTGTGAATCATTACGTGAAAAGACGACACAAGTGGATGTGTACATTTCTTTGGGGAAGTTAAATATAACTTATAAACAATTTCATTGCTGTTCGTCCAAAATGGTCTTCCTCTTGTGAAATGTACTGCCTGTGCCTTTGTGTGCATTTACTCTACTTTTTTCTAGATTGATGCAATTTCTCACATCTTTTATCAATGACAGGTAAACAGAAGCTATCCTCATATCGATGATGATACATCACCGCATTTTTTTTTTTTTAGTTTTTTTTGTTTATTTCTTCTTTAGAGAGAGAGACAGAGCACAAGTTGGAGAGGGGAAGAAAGAGAGGGAGACACAGAACCTGAGGCAGGCTCCAGACTCCAAGCTGTCAGCACAGAGCCCAACGCGGGGCTTGAATCCACGAACCGTGAGATCATGATCTGAGCCGAAGTCGGACACTTCATCGGCTAAGCCCCCAGGCGCCCCGATTATAAGCCTTTCTAAGTGCTGGGATTTTATTGCTTCTACCACCAGCCTGGGTAAAAATGCATCTTCTAAAGTCTGACTATTCACAAGGCACCATGTCAATAATCATAGCTTACGTTAAGCTTTTAACCTTTAAAAGGTTAAAAAATACCTTTTTTAAAGACCATCTCCCCAGTTCTGTTATGAACTTTATTTTTCAAAAATCCATTTTGGAATTCCTATCAACTCTGACTTGAAAGAAGACTACTCTCGCTGTCAGTCTTAATTATGCTTTCTCCCCACTGCCCCCCGAAAAACTTCTATCTTCTTCTTCACCTGGTGAGTGACCGTTCCTTCTGCCAATCTTCCCTTCCTGAGGCTTCACCTAGTTACATTGAGAACCCATAATCATCTTCAGGACTCCTTCCCCTGGCTGCCTAATCATCTTACTATTTTCCTCAGGATTTTCTTGAATCATGCAGGCTTAGGAAATAACAGAATAAATTGCTATAATAGGTAGAAGATCTATTGGTGAAACTGTATAAGCCATACGTGAAAAATCGCTAAATCTATGGTAATTGTCATATATCTGAGATTCTGAATTACTGCCTTAATGGAAGCAGGTAAAATCTAAGTTTTGAGAAGACCGTCTGATGCTCCCAATGCTGGGAGGGCCGGCTATCCTTTGTGCTCGGAGTATAAAGCCACATAAATACTTCGCAAGTGCTTCTGAAAGACGTGTGTGCTTCAGGCTCTGAGAGAGGGCTGAGATACCCGTCTTTGCTCAGCTGGTGCCTCAGCCAACATCAGACAATTTCCTTTTTCCTTTCTGGTTTCTGCTCCCTCACTGGAATTACTACCTATTAGGGTTACGGTCTACTAAAAACTAGTACTTTTACTGAGTAAGATGATGGGCAGGAAAAAAAGATCAGGAAATTAGCCTCTAAGAAGAAAGATTGAATCCTTGCGGTTGTGGGGGCTTCTAGATTCAGATGACAAAGTACTGGAGGGAAGTAGGGCCAGTGAACAGTCACAAATAAAAAGGAAACCAAAATCCAATGCAAGCCCAAATGGCACCTGGACCATAAAAGCAGTAGTAAGTGCTCAGCTATACTTTTCTTTATTTATTTATTTATTTTTTTTAAGTTTATTTATTTGTGGCGCCTGGGTGGCACAGTCAGTTAAGTGTCTGACTTCAGCTTGGGTCATGAGTTTGAGTCCCACGTGGGGCTCTGTGCTGACAGCTCAGAGCCTGGAACTGCTATGGATTCTGCATCTCCCTTTCTCCCTCTGCCCCTCCCCTGCTCATGCTCTCTCTTTCAAAAATAAACAGTTAAAAATTTTTTAAAAACCAGGTTTATTTATTTTGAGAGAGAGACACACACAGCATGAGTGGGGGAGGAGCAGAGAGAGAATCCCAAGCAGGCTCTGCGGTGCCAGCACAGAGCCCCACTTGGGACTCGAACTCATGAAACCGTGAGATCACGACTTGGTCCGAAACCAAGAGTCGGACACTTAACCGACTGAGCCACGCAGGCGCCCCTTGGTGATACATTTCTAACTGTTCTTTTGAAACCACACTTTCCAGAATCCATGCAAGAGCTTTCTCATCCTGCTTAAGAAAAGGAGCCCCAGTGTAGGGAGAGCGCCTTCTCGCTGTGCTACAAATCCTATTTCTCCGCCTAACACTCCAGTGACGGCTGCAGGGGCATCTGTGGGACATGTCAAGTGCGGCGTTCGGGTAGAGCCCTCGCCTCCAGCAAACGCTCCTGGCCGCACAGGACACAGTGAGAGTGTGACAGGAGACCTCGCCTCTTCCCTCCAGAGTCCCTCTGAGGACACAGGGGCAGCCCCGGCTGAGCATCTGGGGCCCCCAGACACGCGGCCTGAGGCTGGCGGCGTCACATCCGCTCTGGAGACCAGGGCCGGGGACCCCCCGAGCCGCCTCCCGGGGTCCTGGGTTCTCCCCGCCTGTGGTTTCAGAAGCGCTTTCGTGTTTTCCTTTCAGAACTCGTTTTATTTACCCTGCCTGCGTGTCTTCTCGAGTATTTAAAGAAAGGGCGTGATGGAAGCAAACATTTAAACAGTGAATCAGCAAACTGAAACCTGTACGTGAATTATTAAAAGCTTCCCAACAAGGTCAGAAGGACGCCTCCACCCCCTCCCACCCCCCACCCCCACCCCCCCAGGTAACTCTGTTCCTCGGTTAGGGCAGAATATTACTTACTTACTTGTTCACAGGCCAGGAAGACCACAATGTCGCCCTTCTCACCCGACTGGTGAATTTCAAAGATAAGGCGTAAAATGGACTCGAAAGACTCCCTGTGAGCCCCGCTCAGGTACACCACCTCCACAGGCTGCTGCTTCCTCACTTCTATGAGAGGCACGTTTCCGTAGTAGGAAGTGAGCTTGCCGATCAGGTGGGGCGACGAGTTGATTATAAGCTTCAGTTCCGGTCTTGCCATCAAAACGTCCTTAAGAAGTCCAAGTAACACGTCCGTGGCAATGCTTCTTTCGTGCACGTCGTCCAAGATGATGACCCCATAGCTACCCAAAAACGGGCTGGACATCATCTCTCTCTGCAACATGGAGTCAGTGCAGTACCTACAGAGAAGGGGCAGCCAAGTGAGAGGCTCCCAGGGGACAGCAGACGGGCTCCGGACACGAGCGCCGACGCCTTTGCGGTCCCCTCTCTCTACCTCAGGAGCTCGTGTGATAGATCACACGTTATTACTACTGACTCTCATCTAAAAGCGAGTCATTTCAATCCATGCCACTCCCTTCGTGTTAGATTAATTACCCCTTCTCAGCAAACTCATCTAAGCACCGATCTTCTAGGGAGAAATGTGCCCCGCCAGGGGGAGGCAGCGTGTGTGCGTTTTGTAAATGTATCGAGGCTTAATTAAAAAGAGGAAGATGGGGATTTATTTAGAACTCCACTTGACTCAGCAAAGCCTGGCCTTCCAGGTGATCCGATAATGCTAAAGGAACACTAAGGCTCAATCCTAAAACTATACAAACCTTCAATTTTCCCTAGAACACAAAGATCTACTTCCTACCTCTGTGTTAGAAACATCATGTATATACAGTGTTTAAAAAAGCACTGTTCCCGATAACTGTGTAAAAATATATATACATTTAGACATTGTTAAAGTTTCGGGAAATGCAGTTTATATTTCAAATTCCTAATACAAAGTTCCTGGAGGCTAAAAATGAAATATAGGAAAGTCTTATTAGTAGTTTCTGAAATTAAATATATTGAATTTGACCTTGAATAAAAGTTTGAGTAATTCTTTTAAAACCTGTGTTCTAGGGGCGCCTGGATGGCTCAGTCGGTTAAGCGTGCGACTTCGGCTCAGGTCATGATCTCACAGTCCATGGGTTCAAGCCCTGCATCGGGCTAGGTGCTGACAGCTCAGAGCCCGGAGCCTGTTTCAGATTCTGTGTCTCCCTCTCTCTCTGCCCCTCCCCCGCTCGCTCTCTGTCTCTCAAAATAAAGATATTAAAAAAAATTTTTAAAAACCACAACCCTGTGTTCTAGAAGGGTCCATATTTGAAATTTATGTGTCATTCTACAAAACATCCTCATACACAGTTCAGAAAGACTATTACAAGCATATAATATTTAGGCATCCATGGTTTTGAAAAAGGCCACAAAAAAAGCTTAAAGAACTAGGTTGTTACATGTAACATCCGAAAAAATGGCAGATGTAAAGATGTAAAAGATTGTATTTACTAAGTGTCTATTATGTACCTAATAGATTAGATACTAAGGGATTACAAAGAAAATGAAAAAGAGGCTACCAAATACAGAACATTGCCTTCCATAATCAGTAGTTAACCTTAAATCCTCTCATTTAAATAGCTATTCACTCTCAGGTTATTAAAAATTATGGCTAGAATTACATCTCCAAGAAAATGAATCTGGTTCCAATTTACGTTTATAATGAAAAGGTCGCTAACAGGGACAAGGTGCTTACACGCGTCGGTCACACGCATGAACTCATTTTGCCCCGACACCCACCCCGCTAGCAGGGAGAGCAGACACCCCATCCTACGGACGAGGAAGCTTGAGCACAGAGAGGCTGGGTGGCTTGTGTGGGGCTCAGGTGAGCAAGTGGCGGAGACACGCATTCGGTAGCCACGTTGCCGCCTCTTCAGAGCGCGGAAACCAGGAGGAAAATGGGGGAACACTTTCTTTGATCAGAGGGGGCTTTTCACTAGCTGTGGCCTCTTTGCTGTGACTCCCACTCTGTTAGCCACAAATCGGAGCATCTGCGGATGCCACACGGGATGGGGGGCTGTCAGGGTGGAAAGAAAGAGCGGTCTCCCAGAGACAAGAAAAGCTGCCAAGTGAGGAGAAAAAGGCCATGCGAGGGCCGGGCCCCTCAGCCAAGGCGGCAAAACGGGGCCAAAGTGGGGCCCCAACTCCCATCCGCCTCTGGAGCTGTACCTGCAGTTCAGCCCCCACCACTGAGAGCTCCTTTCCATATTAAGAAAGAATGCTACACGCACATAAGAATGAAACAAATGTCAACATCAAGTGGAGCCCTGCCTGTGGCCGCCAGGATCGAATGCTTAGGGGGTGAGGGGGTGGGGGTTTTGCCATAAAATAACCACATGGGAGGCGCCTTGGTGGCTCAGTTGGTTAAGCATCTGACTTTGGCTCAGGTCATGATCTCATGATTCGTGGGTTCGAGTCCCACATTGGACTCTGTGCTGACAGCTCGGACCCTAGAACCTGCTTCAGAGTCTGTGTCACCCTCTCTCTCTCTGCCCCTGTCACACTCTGTCTCTCAAAAATAAAACAGTAAAAAATTCTTTTAAAAAATCACACGGAAGCTACATACCAACACATAATAGATGTTTAAAGGGTGAGATGGGTCTTCAACCTGCTCTGACCACATGGCTAGATTTCTCCACAATTGTTTATCTCCATGGCTTTCTAAGAAAATTAATCAATTAAATTTACACTTGATCGCTATTAAGATCAAAACACTGTAATATTTCATTTGGAAAATAACTACAACCGAGAGTCCCGGCCAAAAGGTTCCCAAAGTGCAGATGGCATTAAAGATCTAAAAATACATGCATGAACTTTAGAATATAGTCAGAGCTGTCCTTTCATTCATACCGTGAGATTGTGAAAGGCCACTTGAAAGTGGGAAGGACACAGAATGACTCTGAAGGTTAGGGACCCTTCACTGTCGGGAGCCATTTCTGAACTCACTAGTTGAGAAAACTCCTTGTGAGGTTAAGACAGGTTTGCCGGGTCTCTTAGCGTCAGGAGAGGCTGGATATCTACCCCCACTCAATTGTTTCTGCTTGAGCACCGACCCCTCCAACGCGCCCTGTTGATTGGCTCCTGGGAGTGACTTATTATGGCCCTGGTATGATGATTGCACCTTGTGAAGGAATTTGTTATAGCTTGGAAAAACGCTGATGCTCAGTAATCTGGAAATAGTGATCAGGACTGAGTAATCAGTGACACAAAAAGGTCAGCTATTGCCTTCGGGTTTACATTAATAATAACTTTGGTACAGACTGATTGTACCAAAAGTACTGACTGTACTATTCTTGGGCATGGATGACGTTATAGGAGCTATAAGCTCTGTGGCTAATGTTTAGATGTTTCCTTTTTTTTTTTCTTAGTTTTTTAATGTTTTATTTATTTCTGAGAGAGACCGCGTGAGCAGGAGAGGGTCAGAGACAGAGGGAGACACAGAATCCAAAAACAGGCTCCAGGCTCTGAGCTAGCTCTCAGCACAGAGCCCGAAGACTTTTTCTTTTGTGTTATGGGAGCAAACATTGTGTTTCCTGAAAAACCTGTTTTTCTTAATACCTCCCATTAAGCAGTAAATAGGCTATTGACCCCTGCTCACAAAGAACTAAATTTGCCTTTACTATGTTAAAAACATTATCCTGTTTGTATTTGGATGCTAAAGACACCTTCCCTCAAGTACCCGTATCTAAATCATAATAGTAAGGTTATGCATATCAATGTTCTGGAAAGTTTTTACTGATCAAAAAATTTATCATCAGAATGCCGCCCCCCAAACACTTAATCATAAAATAGAGTTGAGCCCCAGTCAGAGCGGAGATGCCTGCCTGGTGACCAGAAAGAACCTCGGGCCTCTCTCACCCCTCCCGGGCCGACACCTTCCACCCCTGGACCGGCTGCAGCTGGACTCCGTCACCAGCAGGTAGGTCTTTACCTGTGTCAGCTGTATCATTTACAGACCATTTGCATAACACAGTGTGAGCATATATACTAATCCGACGCCTTGGGGACACCATGGCTATGAAAGCAGAAGGTCTCACACGTCTCTTCAAGAAGTTCAAGCCATGGCGCTGGTGATGGAAAGATCCCTTACGGTTTAGCACCGGCCCCAAGACCCGTGTCTTCTATTTGTGAAGATGAACATTTGAGGGAAAGCAGCTTCGTACAAACCAAATGAGTCACACGGGCTCTCTGAGTGGGAGAAGGCCCCAGACGTTTCCGCTAGGGGCTCCAGGCTCTGTGGCTGCCTGGGGGAGGGCGCCGTTCCTCCCGTCCAGTGGGAAATGTGCTGAACACCCTCTACGAAAGCAGCATGTCAGGTGGTGGGGGGACGTGGATGGGGGTCCTACGCCCACAGCGCTGCACAGCAGACACCGTCCCTGTCGCCCTGGCTGGATCCGCCCCCGCGGTGTGCCCCACAGAGGGGTTACAGGCGTGCCGAGACACTGCTCCCGAGATACCTGTGCCCTGGGCCCCCGGAGTGACCAGGCTGTACCCGGGGCGGCCAGGCAGCCTGAACCACCTCCTTGAGGTGTAAAGATCCCCACTTTCGATGTGGCCTAGGATCTCCACTGCCTCAGAGGAGGGCGCGTCCCCGAGTATCCTTTCTCTGGTCTCTTTCCCTCTGCGCAGAGGGACTCTCATGATGAAGCTAAACATAGCGATAAAAAGAAGCCCCTGTGTCTCAGCTTGTGGCAGCTCCCGGGGGGCTCCTCGGCGCCTGGAAGACTCTGACAACCGCTGGTCTAACCCGCCGTGAAGACGGCCGCCATCGCACAGAGGCCCAGCACCACGCCTTCTAACTGACGCTCTCGGGGGTGAGGGAAGCCTTCCTGGAGTAGGTGACCCTTCCTGCCTAGATTGAACCGGGCACGCCAAGCGGAAGGCGCGTGGGCACAAAGAACCACGTGGGTGTGTCACCCTGGCGGCTGCCCAGGCACCTTGTACGGTCACGTGGAGGAGCTCGGGGAGCCTAAGCTTGACGGTCTCTGGGTCCAAACTAACCAGGTCGTGACTGCTCCCTGAGGGCTACGGGGGGACGTGGGAGGAGCCTAGACGAGGAAGCCCGGTGACGCCAGGGTGGGGAATGTCTGGCTGGTGACAGCCAGGCCAGGTGCTAGGACACATTACAGACATCCAGGGACGCGCTCCTGTGGGACCCGAGACCACAGGGTGAGAGTCACCAGGCACCCGGGGCAGATACCCCGCCCCCCCCACCCCAGACCGACCTCAGGATGGTTTCACTGGCGCAGCAGTTTTCAAAGGGGATCACGTAGCCGACTTCGTGCCCAATGTTAACATCCATCTCGTCTGCCACCCGGAGGGCGAGCTGCACGGCACTCTGCGCGTGGACCTGCGTGCACACCACGCCCCCGTGCTGGTAGCGGACGGACAGGCAGTACTCGGCACACCACTGAGGAACCTTCAGGGAAAAGGACACGGGGTCAGCCTCCTCCGGGAACTCACGCGCTCTCCCACCACTGAAATCGCTGGCCGTGCAGCACGGCTGCGATACACCCGTTAGGGAACCTCTGAACAGTCTCCGCTTCTGCACAGCGTTATTCCTGGTAAATTACTAAGTAAAGTTACTGGTTATTTCTAGTAAATTACTAAATAAAGTTACTGGTTATTCCTAGTAAATTACTAAGTAAACCTACAGGGTTATTCCTAGCAAATTACTAAATAAAATTAAGACCAAACATGAGTTAGCAGGGACTGTGAAAGTTCGACTTCTTCCAGTTGGAAAACAAACAAACAAACAAAAAGCAGATAAAAATAAAAGGCATAAAAATAAAAGGCAAGTTAAAAAAATTTCTTTTAACCTCAGCTATGTTTCTGAAAAGACTAATGTATTTACAGACTGTTATTTTCTTCCAGTTGCAAGAAACTCGATCGGAACTATGGCCTCTGGTATTAACTACTGTGTTTTAAGCGATGTAAATATGAAACAGCATTTCGTGACTCCAAATTAAAGCATTTATATATAAGCCTAGATGATCGGAACAAAATAACCAAATAAGCCTCCTCAACTTATCCCTGGTAAGAGAAGCTAACATACACTAGCATTTATCATAATACAATGTGAAATGAGCCCAGGGCGCAAGCACTCCATCCAGGTTTGGAGAGAGTCGCTTCCAAGGCTGCTCCTGCGTCATTTATACTAAAATCCTTTTACTGAAAACATTACAGAGCAATTGGTTTTATCTAGTTCATTTGTGCAAGAATTAGTATACTAGAAAGTACCTGTCTCATTTGTATGCTATAACCTTAGGTACTACCAATAAATAATACTTTGTTACATGTGGGTGTTTTTTTAATGTTTATTTCTTTGAGAGCAAGTTGAGCACGAATGAGCAGGCGGAAGAGCAGAGAGAGAATCCCAGGGAGGTTCCCCACTGTCAGTCCAACATAGGGCTCAAAACTCCTGAACCATGAGACCACGACCCGAGCTGAAAACCCAAGAGTTGGATGCTTAACCGACTGAGCCATCCAGGTGCCCCGTTACATGTGTTTTTGAAATAGATCATTCTAAGAGTGTTTTTAATTTTTTTAACGTTTATTTATTTTTGAGACAGAGAGAGACAGCACGAGTGGGGGAGGGGCAGGGAGAGAGGGAGACACAGAATCTGAAACAGGCTCCAGGCTCTGAGCTGTCAGCACAGAGTCCGACACGGGGCTCAAACTCACGGACTTGCAAGATCATGACCTGAGCTAAAGTCGGATGCTCAACTGACTGAGCCACCTGGGCACCTCTCTAAGAGTATTTTTAAATAGATCATATTTTAATTAGATAATAAACTTTTAACAGGTAAGATATTTAGAGGTTTTCACGTGTTTAATTATTTTGAGATTTGCTATTTACTAGACCCATCATAGAACTCTTAGATTTTAATCCTCACTATAATTTGACACTTAGCCAGAAATCGTAACTCCAAAATGAGCCGCAGCTGTGGAATGCCAATCCCCAACGATCAATCGTGCAAACGTAATTCCTCCATTTTAAGATAGGTGTCAGCCTTGTCAACAGGTTGAAAAACTATTCATTAATTTATTCAGTGCCCACTTTGTCCTATGAAAGATGAACGTTTAAGGTACTACCCTCAGGGAATCTGGAATCAAGTCATGCCAGGCAACAACCAGGCACTATCGGGACCAAAGTCCAGAGTCCCAGGTCTGGTTTGCTCCTAGTTTGTTATGTTTTTGTTTTTGTCTTGTAATCTCTACATCCACCGTGGGGCTCAAACTCATGACCCCAAGATCTAGAGTCGTGTGCTCTTCCCACTGAGCCGGCCAGGGGCCCCGGCTAGTTGGTTATTTGTAAATCACAATTTCTCTAAGCTTCAGTTTCCTCTCCGTAAAGTGGGTTGAATAGATGAGTCACCCTTCAAACCTCAGCTCCCGGGACCTTTTCTCCACAACTGCCCCGGAGGGCACCACCCAACGACCACACACGGCTCACGCGTCCTGCGGCTGCTGGTCTGTTCCAGGCATCCACCCACCCAGCTAGACCGTGACACCAGAGCTCCGGGACACCAGAGGCGGTCTCTCTTGTTCACCAGATAATTGCAAGTAATTTTACTCAACAAATATCTGATGCATGAACAATTCCTTATACTTTCCAAAAATACTTTATTTTTATTTTTTAAATGTTTAATTAAAAAAAAAAAAACAGAGCCTGAGGGAAGCAGGGGCAGAGAGAGAGAGAAGGAGGGAGAATCCCAAGTGGGCTCGACGCTGTCAGCACAGAGCCTGAGGTGGGGCTCGATCTCATGAACCGTGAGATCACGACCTGAGCTGAAATCAAGAGTCGGATGCTTAACTGACTGAGCCCCCCGGGCGCCCCCCAAATATTTTTAAAGCCCCTGGTTCTGTATGCTCTATCTCAACTCCTTCACCATCACAGGTCACCTAAAAGGGAATTCACATAAAATCTTCTGTCTCCCTCATTCCTCACCATTTAAATGATTTTTAAATTCTTGCCAAACTCTTACTTTTTTAATCCGATTCCCTTCATGTCAGGATCCAGTCTCCAGGTCTCTAGCAGAGATTTCACACAGCATTCTTGTGAAAACTGTATTAAGACCATTGGTTTGGCTTTTTGTCTCCCCACTGGACTGGAGAACCCTTGAGCGGGCCACGTGTGGCTCCTACTTTCCCTCATACATAGCAGAGGACCTGACACTTAATAGGGATCATAAATATTTGGATGGATGGATGGTTAAGGATATCATCATATAATCAAAAGAAGGACGGGAAAGGCTTGGACTCAGAACTCAGCACGGGGAAGAAGAAATAAAACCAAGGGACAGTAACTGCAAAGGAAGCATGAGCAGCACTCACTAGTGGGCTGACTATGCCTGAGAAGAAATAAATAGTCGGGGCGCCTGGGGGGGGCGGGTGCTCAGTCTGTTGAGCATTCGACTTTGGCTCAGGTCATTATCTTGCAGTTCGCAGGTTCGAGCCCTGCATCGGGCTCTCTGCTGTCAGCATGGAGCCTGTTTCAGATCCTCTTCCGTATCGTTTCTCTGGCTGTACACACTTTCTGGATCACTCCAAGCCAGCAAAGGCCCATCGTTAAGGTTGGTGCCTTAGCAAATTCAAAGTACTGGCTGAAAAAAGGAGTGTGATTCAGCAACTGCTAGAAATGTGGACATTTCATGATTTCAAGGGACACCAGGAGTATAGCTTCCCAGGGCACATCCACATGCCGCCTGGCTGCAGTTCACCCCGTGCCGTGCCTGCCCGGATTCTGATTCTCCTCGGGAAGTGGCTTTGACTTTGTCCTAATAAACCTTAGCCTCTTACCAATGAATGATGCACCTGTTTGAGATTTCATTTCTCTCGTCCATTATTTCTCTGTGGGAGAGAGTCCCCCTGCCCCCGGTATTGAGAACAGATCAGAAGGCAGCAGGGCCAGAACCTGGACGCTGAGTACCTGTGCCCTTCGATCAAGCACTTGGCTTTGCTCTTTCCAGAGAGAAACACTGAGTTCTAGGCCACTGTGTACCTTAAATGACCCTTCAGGGCTTGGCAAACGTTGTGCAATCTGGTGAACAAAATACGAAACTGCCCTTTTAACACGTGAAAAAATAAAAACAGACCCACTTACAAATTTACCTGGGGGTCTGGGCAATAGACAACACCCCGAGTTACCTATTTGGTCTAGAAACTCTCCCTACTGGAAATCACGACTGCAAATATTTTCATTCTGAACTCACCCACCAGTTGTTTCCAACTCCCTCAACCCACTGTGTGAATGCCACCGCCCGGCCTGCCTGATGTGCCAAATGTGTGAAAGCCGCAGCCGGGAAGTGTCTCAGCTCCGTCCCAAAGCCCGGCGGGGCCGCCCCTGGGCCGCGGGAGGGGGGCCACCGGTGCCGCAGTGCGCGGTGAGAACGTGCGTCCCGGGCTCTCGGCTCCTGCCTGGAAGGAGATCGCCGGCCCGCCGGCCCGCGTGCGGCACGAGATTAGGTGCCGGGCGTCCTCTCGGTAACCAGAGTCCAATCAACCTCGAGGCTCCGTCAAGTCAAGTTAGTAGCGGGACTTGTGTGTTGTACGAAGTCACCAAGGGGAGAAGAGATGCCCTGTTCTCCGGGCAGCAGGCGCGGAGGCCGGGGGCTGGGCCTGGGAGAGCCGGGCCAGGGTCCGCAGGTGGCCTGATCCGGCAGGGGCCGGACGGCAGCGGCCTCCCTGTGCGGCCCACGGCCGCCGCTGTGGCCATGCAAGTTACACCCCACCCTCTGCCCGAGGTGGCCTCACCCCATCGAATGGACACGTGCATAAAGGAGGTGAGACAGAAAGGCGTCTGCGAGACACAACTCTACTCCTGTTACCACAGCCTGGTCCCAAGGGCCCCCGAGCCCTCCAGCCCCGTTCCCCTTCCTCTGCGTGGGACCCCGGGGGCCAGAGCCAGGGCCACGGCTCCCCTCGCTCACTCTCGCTCCCGTGCCAGAGCCACCGGGCGTCCCGAGGTTGTAAGGCCCCTGGAGGACTTCCGGCTCGGCCAAAGGTGCGCATCCCTACAACGTTCCTGCAAAGCGGCCGGGCCTGGGCAGGCTCCTGAGGCTACGGGGAGGGGGCGGGGGGCACCATGTCGGGATACATCACTGAGGAGTGGGTCCCCTTCCGGACTAAACGGGTCACATCCCTGGATATCCTGATTTGTACATATCTTGACCTTGAGTGACCACAGGTAGAATCTACCAGCAGCAGGTGGTGGGCAAGTTTACCAGCTGCTAGGCGGCGGATGTTCTACCCCACGCGGTTTCGTAATTTGGGTTACATCTCAGGTACGTGACGCTTATTCTCCTCACTAACTCAGCCATTTCCTGGGAGATTTCAGGACAAAAGATAGAGAAGGAAAAGCAAAGAGAACAGACGGTTCTAAAAATATTCCATTCTCTTTCAGGCTTTTTCATGAAG